GTCCGGCATTATAATTTGTTGAGGTCTCTATAAATCAGCCTTTTTTCTACCGTGTAATTTGGATATCCGCCGCGAGAGATCGCGAGTGACCGGCTTCGTAATTTCGATGATATGGCTGCTCTTTCGTACCGGTGCGCGTCGGCCTTGCGCTCCGCGTGTGCGTGTTATGTGCGTGCGCATGTATTTAATTTATACATGGTATACGCGGGGATCTCGCTCTTCCTCACGAGCGGTAGTCCTGGTTTCTATCGCGATAGCTACGCGACGAGTTACCGTGTCAATATAACGAATAAGGCTAATAATGCCGTTGCAAGTTCACGACGTGCAGGTAATTATTCTGGTTGAGATCAAGCGCGGGCGATTTTTTCTCGGAATCATTGCGCGACGACGGAAAAAAAAACTGTCGTGAGGTTATCCCGAGTGAACGTTCGTTCGCATCTCTTTGTCGCTTTGTGATCCCTCTCGATTGAAATACTCCCGCAGAACGTAGAGCCGAATGATATTTTTCCTTGTATCTTTTCTACAGCAAAATGTCGTGGAGCCAATGCAGGTTGATGCTCCTACAGAGGATAATGATAATGCTGAGGAAGAACCGTATATAGTAGAAAACCCGACGCTTGTACGTATGAAGATTGATTCAATCTAGAAAATTATTTTATATTTGTTAAGCGTGGGAATTTAGTCTTGTTCCATTCAATCTTACTCATACATTACGTTTTCTTTTTATTAGGACTTGGAAGTATATGCCAATAGCTATACCGGGCTTGCAAAACTAAATAGGCTTATATACATCGCTGATCATTGTCCGTCGTTACGAATAGAAGCGTTGAAGATGGCAATTACTTATGTGATGACCACGTACAATGTTGGACTTTACATAACGCTGCATAAAAAGCTTGTGGAAGCTATGGGTTATACCTCTGGATTGCCAGACATAGCGGCGCAGTCAACCTCTCAGGATATGCCAACGATGGATCAGACATGGGTAGAGACTCGGGCTAAGAAAGCCGCTCTTAAATTAGAGAAGTTTGATACCGATCTAAAAAATTACAAGAGCAACTCTATCAAGGAGAGCATACGAAGAGGTCATGACGATTTGGGAGATCATTATTTGAATTGTGGTGACCTTGTTCACGCTTTAAAATGTTACTCCAGAGCGCGGGATTACTGCACTAGCGGCAAGCACGTTGTGAACATGTGTTTGAATGTAATCAAAGTTTCCGTTTATCTACAAAACTGGTCTCATGTACTTAGTTATGTCACCAAGGCTGAAAGCACACCAGACTTTCCAGAACTGCACGGTAAAGAAAACAACCAGGCGATAGTCACGAAGTTAAAAGTGGCAGCGGGCTTGGCGGAATTGGCAACAAGAAAGTATAAAATGGCCGCAAAACATTTTTTACAAGCGTCCTTAGATCACTGCGACTGCCCCGAGCTGTTGTCTCCTGGAAACGTGGCTCTTTACGGAGGACTTTGTGCTTTAGCCACTTTCGACAGACACGAATTGCAGAAACAAGTTATATTTAGTAGTTCCTTCAAATTATTTCTAGAATTAGAACCTCAACTTCGAGATATAATTTTCAAATTTTACGAATCAAAATACGCATCCTGTTTGAAGCTGCTCGATGAGATAAAGGATAATATTCTCTTGGACATGTACATAGCACCTCACGTGAACTTATTGTATACGCAAATTCGAAATAGAGCCTTGATACAATACTTTAGTCCTTATCTGAGCGCGGACATGAGACGAATGGCAACCGCATTCAATAGAACTGTATCTGAATTGGAAGACGAGCTCATGCAACTTATTCTTGACGGTCAGATTCAGGCTCGTATAGATTCGCACAATAAGGTGAGGACTGTTCATTTGATTTACTTATATGTATATATATTTTTTTGTGGAACATATAAATTTATAAAATAAGAGTATATATATATATGTATATATGTATATTTATATATATAAACCAATTATAAAATATATATATATATATATATATATATAACTATGCACAATTGATACAATTGTTGCAGATTTTGTATGCAAAGGACGTCGATCAGCGTAGCACCACCTTTGAAAAGTCTATGAGCGTTGGAAAGGATTATCAGAGGCGTACCCGTATGTTGATCTTACGAGCCGCGATGTTGAAACAGCAAATTCACGTAAAGGTAAATTACAACTGGAAAAGCTTTCTTGCGATTACATTTGTTCATCGTTACATATATATGAAGTATGAACTGTATAAACTTCATCAAGAGATATGTCGTTTGCTTTTATATTTAAAGGTATCTACTTAAAATATTCTACTTAGTTTTTTTTTTTACGATAGAGTCCTCAACGCGACAGCACGCAAGGAGGTGAAATGTCAGTAGCACCTGGAAATGGCACTTTAGCAGTAAAAAATTGAAGTCGTACGCACGTCGGCATCCGATTCTGGGAAGAACCAAATTTACATGCATGTCTCTTTCAACTGCCACGTCCATCTAGGTATGAAATAAGATTTCACTATACATTCGACATTATGTTATTTCTGCAAAGTCAAAGGCCTGTACCTCATTTTCAACATATAATATATGGCATGTATATATATATACATATATATTATTGCTACGTTGCGTTGTTTTAAAAGAACAAAGTGACTTTATCTCCAGTATATTGATTATAGAATCATTAAAAAGTGTAACATAGACTAACTCTACCCGATTAATTAAACATAATGTGGTCTCTTTTGTAACAAAATTATATCGAGAAACCGTAAATCTTAAGTTCCTCTGTATACAAGCAATGTGAATAAACCTAAGATTTTAACATACTCCACTGGAATTAAGAATAATTATAAATAAATTTATTGTATTACAGCTTTATACATATATCTATTATACATTTTTACATTTAATACATTTTTATTTTCTCATATTTCTAATCTTCTAATCGAAGAGATAAGATAACTTTTATTTGCGATATTTTGACTTCTTATAGTGATATTTTAGCATTTGTTGAAAATTTCTGTTTTCTGTATGTTTCAGTTAAGTATCGAAACTAGAGTAAAACACTTTAGATCGCTTTAGTACACTTATAAAATTGTCCGAAAACTATCCTTTTCCCTTGACAGTTTAATAAACAGCCATAAAATGAATGTGATACGAAGCCTAGTCTTACAAGCTTATGCACAGGCGCATGCCTAGGCTTTGTATCATATTCATTTTATAGCTGTTTATTAATTAACTGTCAAAGGAAAAGGATAGTTTTTGAACAATTTTATAAGTGTACTAAAGCGATCTGAAGTGCTTTTTTATCCAAATATTTTTTTATTTGAAAATGGCATGCAAGAATTCTCAGGGTGTCATTTCTTGCCTCTGACATCTCACATGACCGTGGGAGAGCCTTAAGGATACTTAGCTGCACTTTAGAAGTGATAGCTGGAACTTATTTAATAGGTTGCTCTGTAAGCAGTAAGAGCGATTCACTAGTATATCAGCATTTCAATAAGAGCTAGATTCACTGTTAGATTAAGAAATCTTTCTCTTTTGTCGAGCTTCAAACTTTTGAAAGGTATGTAAAACTTTGTTTATTTGTAACTGTTTATGCTCGACAGCTCCGATAGGAAAAGATTTATAAAATTATATGACGAAATCTGGATGAAATTGGGAATGCTACAACTATGTCTCAATCTTTGCAACGATACTAGTACAAATTTCGATTTTTGTGCAAATATTGATAAAAATGTACACCAATTTATTCCTAAATAGTATTTCAACAAGGCAGCAACGTTATGATGAATCATCTTAGCGGAATATTTACAAAAAATTGCGAAATAATTGTCAAATATATTTGAGTTTTATTACGTGTTACTCCTGCATTACATAGCCGGTTCAAAAGCCATTACCGCGTTCCGTGTGCAGGAACATTACATTAGAATCTCTAACTGGAATGAGTGCTGCTATATAAATCCAAGGTAGACGCGGGTAAGTGAGCGATATGAGAGAGAAGTTCCAAGTTCCTCTCTTCTCCTTGTCCAGCCTACAGCGTAGTTAAGAGTAGGGAGGATGGAGTGGAGATAAAGTACAGGCCGATCAAGAAGACCAGATAAGGATAGAGCGCTGCTCGAGACACCTTGACATGCTCTCTCTCATATCCCATAGGCAGGCCCAGCGCTCGTTCCAGTTTATATATTTCAGTGATAAACTGCAAACAAAATTATTTTAACATAAATTATTTAGATTGATATAAAAAAAACTAGTTTTTAATATTTCTATAATATTTATCATCTAATATTATTTACATTTAAAGTAAGTAATAGAATAATTGACAATTGAATACGGGCGGGAGTTGACGAAAAATGCTGGACCAATAAAATGTGGTCTTCTTATTATGGCCAGTCTCTTAGTTTTACATTGGTCGTATCGTACGATGATTCGTAATAAATTGACTAATTACAGTCAAATTTGAGAAGAATAATCGACTGTGATTAGTCAATTTCTTCCGGTCTTACGATTTATGCTACGATACGACCAATGTAGATCCGGCCTTATGCGAGTCGTAAGTCGTAAGAAATTGACCAATCGCAGTCGATTATTCTCCTCAAATTCGACTGTAATGCTAGGTCTACAATGCGAGTCGTAAAGTCGTGAGTCGTAAGAATTGACCAATCAGAATTGAATTTGAGGAGAATAAGCGACTGTGATTGGTCAATTCTTACGACTTACGACTTACAACACCCAACCAATTTGTAAACCGAGCCTTACGTTACCATACGAGAGCTTGTGCAGAGGCTCTAACCGATACGTTTCTTGTGCGTTGATTCACGTTACGTTATTATTCTCCTCAAATTCGATTGTGATTGGTCAATTCTTGCGACTCACGACTTTGCGACTCTCATTGTAGACCCCGCATTACTTTTAGAACCAACCAATTAACGCAGAGTGATGATAAAATGAACTTAACAGTTGTGCAACAGTAGTTGTGTCTGCTCAAGGCGCCAATTGTAGACCGGCCCTTATTAACCTTTAGCACACACCGCACACACAGAGATCCGGAACTCCGGACTCCGGACTCCGGAAGTGACTTCAGACGTGAAGCATATATAGATTGCGTCGAGTGTATACATACGAGTGCACGTTCCAATCGATATGGACGGCGGCCACGTACGGAGCCTCCTCGTTCATCATGTATAAACAAGCCGAGCGTGTTTTCTGACGGGACGACGTGCGAGTGGGAGATATCGGTCGCGGCCGTAAGCACTCGCGCCACACGACCGACCTGGAACGTCGTTCTTTCGCGTGATCGCTCTCTCGCGACCGGATGTGTCGTCATGCCGTGTTGGCCAATTCGGGACATGATGACAGATTTTATACGTTAATATCCTAACCGCTAATCGGGATACATAATTTTTCTGCTGCCGGACACGTAATAAAAACGTCCAAACATGGTTTTGGCGGACCTCGGGCGTAAGATTACGTCCGCTCTGCGGTCGCTCAGCAATGCGACCGTCATCAACGAGGAGGTGAGTGTTTGTTTATCGGTTCACCCGCGATACGCGTGGGACCGATTCCTGCGAGGGTAATTTATAAACAAAAAACCGGGGTGTCGCGACTTCTTCTGTTCCATACTCGGCATCGTTTCTTTCATTTTCGCATTGCACTTCTCGAAATTTCCATTTATTTTCAACAATCTCGTTGTACGTGTCAAACTTATGTTTACGCCGCGGCTTGAATTTCTAATTTGTCCGAAATCACGACAATACCGTAGGCCTGTTCTTTTTAACTGAACTTTTTACACGGTTTATCTTTTTTTCCTTTTTCTTTTCAATGTGAAAAGAAAATGAGGAAAGGTGAGCTGTGTAAGAAATTCAACTAAAAAAAAAAACAGGTATCATGTGTTAACAATTGACAGATGATGCGCAATGAGTTTTAGAAAATTATCTCTTTATTGATTTTTTCAGAAAAAATTCTTTTTGTTGGAATTCTTTGAGTTTCCTACATTACACATTTATTGTTTTTGACATCATATTGTGCATTCTGTTTTAATATAACTGGTTAGATTTGTGCCATATCACCTTTATTGATGAACACTTCTGTCTCAACAGGTTTTAAATTCTATGCTGAAGGAGATATGTGCAGCGTTACTCGAAGCTGATGTAAATATTAGATTAGTAAAAAAATTACGTGAAAATGTACGCCAAGTTATCGATTTTGAAGATATGGCTGGTGGTCTTAATAAAAGGAGGATGATACAGAGTGCAGTTTTCAAAGAACTCGTAAAGGTTAGTCTGTCATCTTGAATTTTTATCAGATAACGATGTGTAAACAGGTTTGGAATAGTACTGAAGATACAGCTCTTAATATTTAAGAATATAGCTAATCCATCATTTTTTTCAGTTGATCGATCCTGGTGTCAAAGCTTATCAACCAGTAAAAGGCCGTCCTAACGTGATTATGTTTGTCGGTTTGCAAGGTTCCGGTAAAACAACAACTTGTACCAAACTCGCGTATCATTACCTTAAGAAAAATTGGAAGGCGTGCTTAGTATGCGCCGATACTTTTCGTGCCGGTGCGTACGATCAGATAAAGCAGAACGCCACAAAGGCTAGAATACCATTTTACGGAAGGTAAATGAAGGAAAATGTTTACACTTGCGATATTATGCTGCTGTTTAATATGTTTTTCATGATATGTTAACCAAACAATTTTTAAATTTAGTTATACAGAAGTAGATCCTGTAGCAATTGCACAGGATGGTGTCGATATGTTCAAGAAAGAAGGATATGAGATCATTATTGTAGATACAAGTGGGAGGCATAAACAGGAAGAATCATTGTTCGAGGAAATGTTGCAAGTCGCGAATGCTGTGGTAAAATTATAGCGCTTTTATGTATATGCGTAGAAAAAAATGTCAATTTTTTAACGCTAAGTCTTCACATGTTGCAGCAACCAGACAATATTATCTTTGTAATGGACGCAACGATAGGTCAGGCGTGCGAAGCGCAGGCAAAAGCTTTTAAAGAACGCGTTAACGTCGGTTCTATCATAATTACAAAATTGGACGGCCACGCTAAAGGCGGTGGAGCACTTTCTGCGTAAGTTTTCTTTTTTAGTTCTTAGCTTAATAATTTTATATATTTTTTTGCAATATGTTTATGCAAATTAAAACAGTATGAAGTTATTTCATTATAAATGTTAATTTTTACTTCTAAAATAAGCAATGACTTAGTTAATAATTTTTCTTTTATATATATATATGTATGTATATATATATATATATGTATATATATGTATATATATATATATACATATGTGTATAAGAAAACTTATTAACTAAGTCATTGCTTATTTTATACATATGTGTGTGTATATGTAATATTAGATTCTCTTCAGTGTTGCAGCGACACAAAGTCCTGTAATATTTGTTGGTACAGGAGAACATATAGACGATCTAGAACCGTTTAAAACAAAACCATTTATTAGCAAGTTATTGGGTATGGGAGACATTGAAGGTCTTATTGACAAAGTGAACGAACTTAATCTAGACGATAACGAAGAATTACTTGAAAAAATCAAACATGGTCAATTCACCTTACGAGACATGTATGAACAATTTCAAAATATTATGAAGATGGGACCATTTTCACAATTAATGGTAAATAATATGAAAAATTAACACTTGCATGTATTTTTCTAATAAACTTTATAAAATAAGATTTATAACGTTTGTATTTGCTATAAAAATAGAATTGTAATTCATTTTATGATTAATTCTAAAGTTTTATTGTGTGTAGGGTATGATCCCTGGATTTAGCCAAGATTTCATGTCGAAAGGGACAGAGCAAGAATCAATGGCAAGATTAAAACGACTCATGACTATTATGGACAGTATGAATGACTCAGGTTAGTTATTTAATATCCTTCCTTTATATTGTTCCTTGTGACAATTTATTTAATTTCTTAGCAACATTTATTACATTGTGTCTTTATTTCAGAGCTGGATAGTAGAGATGGAGCCAAGTTATTCAGCAAACAACCTGGAAGGATAGTGAGAGTGGCAAGGGGTTCTGGCGTAACAGAGAAAGAGGTCAAAGATTTAATTACGCAGTATACAAAATTCGCAGCAGTCGTTAAGAAGATGGGTGGCATAAAAGGTTTGTTCAAAGCGGGAGATATGGCGAAAAACGTTAATCCTACACAAATGGCGAAACTGAATCATCAAATGGCTAAAATGATGGATCCGCGTGTATTACATCAAATGGGTAAGCAATTTTATACAGATTGAATTCTTATTTTAACATAAGTTAAAAAACGTTCTTTTATGTGCACATTCTTCATAAATTTTTGTATTTTGTTACTAGAGTTAAGTCATTTTTTATAGTATTCTAAAAATATAGAAGGTACATTTCGTTTATATTGTGATGCTTTCTAGATTATTTTTTAATTTATCTCCAACTTTACAATTTGACCGTAGATTTTTCTGTAATCAATACTTTTTATCGTGATTATTTTAGGTGGTATGCCAGGGTTGCAAAATATAATGAAACAGTTACAACAGGGTGCTGCAGGTGGATTGGGAAATTTAATGGGCGGTTTCGGTGGTAAATCCTGAGACGAGGTTCCAGGCAGTGCATGTACTGCCGTTAAGGACATTAAGGACGTTAGGATCGTTAAATACCGTTACATACATCTCAAGAGAAAGTTGTGTCGTATCTGAGTTACAGTACTGAAGAAATTGTGTTTAAAAACTTTGTTTTCACACATGCGTGTGATTTTATAGGTATGGAATCATGGAAATAACACTGTTGATAGTGAATTCTCAACATCTTTCTATTTTTTTTTTTTTTTATCGTTCATCGAATCGTAAATATCTTTGGATGTAAATGCAATAAATTATCCGAATACACTATAAAATGTGTCATAATGAAAAAGCTAATTTATTTCGACTGTTTATAACCCTCTCATCTATCCTGGTATCGTAAATTTCACTAAAGATGGTATCATTTATAAATCAGCTCGTTACTCTCTTTCGTTATTAAATACTATAACTACATGGATATTAGATGAGAAGTTTTACTTGGATATATTACCATAATCAAATAATAAAGGTACACATAATGTGTGATAAATGTAATTATCAATGTAAGTATTCATAAGAGGAATGTATATTGTTATAAAAAAATAAATTTCGGGCAAAACAGTTTCATATATTTTATACTTCGTGATATTGTTATAATGAGATCAGTTAACATGTCTTAAATACTTATAACAATAATTATCTTATCTACACGTACTTAAAAAAGTAAAACTGACGTTGACGCGAATTAAAAATCTACTCTGAAAACAGATGACGCTTATATATGCTTACAATTCTGGATAATATAGCATTTTCGAATCGATTAGAATTTTCATTAATGATTATATTAATATCTCTTTTCGAAATTATTTTATATACAGAGTACTTTAAAATTATTTCGGATATTATTTGCTTGTAAAACATACGGAAATAATAGCCACGTAGCAAACGCCATATGTATCTTTACATAATATACAATTTAACGCGTATAAATAAATATTTTCGCGTTTAAATATTTTTGATTTGACTCAACCAGGTACAAGTGCTATGCCCTATTAGTCAGCATATAATACTAGGTGATTAAAATACTTCCGCAACTTATTTGTATAAAACAATTTTTGAGCAACTGAGGTAGAGTATATATATCAAGTAATACATTAAATAGGAATGTAATGGAATGGATCATTTCAATGTAAGCTTTAAGCTTTCGGAATAGTTAGATTCATTGATTGCGCGTATTTAAAGTATTTCTATTGACATTTGACATCTTGTTACTTGTCCGACTCCTTAAATAATACTTTCGAGATGGTACGTGTCAAAGGAAACGTTTCGTTTGCACCGTAGCAAGTGCCGTTCCAATCGTCAACATTTAAAGATAGTATCATGGCTCCCTTAAAGCCATTGGTACGAATCCATGTACTCTGCAACACAAACGTTTCAACTGAGCTTATATCATTGTATGTTTGTACATTACAGATTTTTACAAATCTGCTCGATTTTATATTAGCAAGGTAAAACGCGTTACCTTGTAATGAACGCTCTCCTCATTGTCATAAGATATCCATTCTCTGCCTTTAAACGTATATGGTACACGGCTCTCCTTATTAAAGACGCTCGTAGCTCCGGATTTAAGAAATTGACAAACCGTAGGATAAGACACGAAACCCTTTACGCCAAGCTTTCCGAATCCGTTGGCTGGTGCTTGTAAATTATGATTCAATGGATTGTCCAGTTTGTAGGAGTGGCCATAAGCCGGTATGCCGACGACAATCTTCTCTCGCGGCATTCCCTTCGCCATCCAGTATTGAGCAGAGAAATTCACATTTAATGTGGACAAATAGCCTGTCTCTGAGCAACGAGGAAAGAGCGGGGCGTTCAGATCTGTCACTGGGAAGTACCAAACATAAAAGTGATAATCGTACGACATAAGGTTTATAAAGTCGACGTGCCTGAAAAAGATGATGATTTACATTTTTTTTTCCAAGTATCTTATAAATTATCGCATTTTTTAATCCGACACATACTCTGCCATTTCAGGAATACTGTAACTCTGATCTACAATGGCCTGTGGTGCTGCAACCGCTACAGTTAAAATTAACTTTTGTCCGCTATGATCAAATTCCTTTCGTAATTCTTCTAACAGCTGCACAAAGCGTATCCTTTCGCGATCGTCCGCTCCTAACCAGGCTGGAAACTCCCAGTCAACGTCAAAGCCGTCCAAGCGGAAAGTCTTAGTTACATTTAATACTGATTGGATAAACCTGGACATAGGGACATTAACGATACTTGCGTATCCTAAATGTATATCATGTACAGGAATGGAAAGCCACATAAACGTACTTTTTTCTATTTGCGTGATTTTTCACCATCTCGGAGAAACCATCGTGGAGCTCATTGTATCCGCCGGCACTAATCATGACCTTCAAGTTTGGTTTGAGATTTTTTAGAGCGACTACTCGCTCGTACACCCACGCATTGTTACCTATGTCGAGCGTACTGTTCACCACGCCCGCAAAACCCACGATAATATGCGTACAAATATGAGGGTCAATGTGCGACGGACTGAGCTCCCACGACGTGTTCAGGTCCCCCGGTATTGTATAGTAGCATACGAGGACCTGGCTAAACAGAGAATAGATTTTCAAATAAGACACGCATCCATGCTGGATAGCCAAATATGCCAAAAACAGATTGTGCATAATCTGTTACAAATTTTGTCAACAGAATACCAATAGAAATACAACAAAAATCTGTTAGCAAAATATTATAACCAATTGACTGCTGAAATCGAACGAGATCTCGTAGCTATTTAAATAATACATTCCATTTAAATAGTTTAACGATTCTGCTAGATTTCTGCCGTCAGATCGTCAGCAAACTCTGCTTACAGAGCTAACCAAAAGTTTGATGACAATAAACAGAATTTAATGCAGAGTATTCTGAATCTGTTGGTAAAACGACTGACATACTATTAACACTTACTAGGTACATACATACAAGAGTTTGAGGTAGATTATAACAATTTATTAACTCCAGCTACATAGCCAAGAAGTGGGTTCGGTTTACAATGTTTCCTTAACCATTCTTTGATTATAATTATCGCATTGCACTCTCTGCTTTGGCCCATCTTTCTATTCTAATCTCCAATCTATCCTTTCTCTCCTCTACTTATTTCGCCAACCTCTCTCTATATACTTTCTTCAATATATTTCCCTTGGTGGTGTCCAAACGAGTCTAAGATAGATAAAATTACGTTCGATCGGAGAGTTTCTCACCTGGTTGTATCGTGGTGGTATTGCTCCGATGTGCCGAAACTTGTGTTCCTGTCCGCATTCTGATTCTCCTTCGCCGACTCGGCGTACATCCGAGCCCGACGTAGCCACGTAGCAATCTTGGCATCGTCAATGTGTTCCTCGACGAATCTGTCGGCTCGCGATGTCTTCAGCAGGAGTATGCCGAACCAGGCGCGCGTGACAAACAGCACCGCAACGAACAGGAATGACAAAATGAGGCAGACGACTTGTGTTCTCCAGCGCGTTCTGAAAGGAATGCCCGATTTTCAGATCGCTGTGCAGACGTACAAGAGACGACATGTGTGGGGAGACCTGTCGGTCTAGAACGTTGCATTTATGCGAACAACGACAAAGCATGCAATCCTACGCGATGAGAGAGGGGAAAGTTCAAAAGCCAGCGATGACGTGTATTGTTTGTCGTAGCGTGAAAAATCGATACAAATTTCCCTGATCCCTCTCCCCCGTCCCCCTCTCCGCCCTGCTGCCCTTCCCCTTCTCGCGTATACATATAATTATAAATTTAATGATAAAAAAGCTCCGAAGGACGATACATTTGCCTCTCGAGCAGCTTTCGTTTTCGATACTCACTGTCGTTTGGTTAGCAATTCATACTTGGCCTGCACCATAGGTCTTTGATTAACCATCGAATGATTTATTACTTTTTATCGCACCGTTAAGCGTCCGTGCCGAGTTCGCTTCCCGCCGCAAGAAATGAGAGACAGATGGAAACGATCCGAACGTCCGAGCGTCGAGCTGTCAACTCGCTCCGATAATCGGACGCGATAATCTTCGTCCGCGACGCGCGGAAGGGATACACTCGTACGTGAAGCTAATTGAAAACGCGGTGCCCATAAAAACGCGTCGATTTCGCGGCGATATTTACGATTGCATAAGCGCGGAATGGGCGTGTTCCATCGCGATCTACCGCGACTAAAATGGGCCGCGACGATATATGCGAATATGCGCGCGTATACCGCTATACCGCGCGATACGACGGCGCGAGTTTTTGTCACTTTCCTTTTTTTTTTTTTATTTTTTTTTTGTGTTGCTACTGCGGACAGTGCGGACCGCCGATTGGCTCGGAAGTGCAGTACTAGAAGGCGAAAATATCTGAAGGGGGCGGCGTGGGTGTCGTTCCACTCCGCTTTTGTTTACGCTCCGTGAATGAAATTACGATTTAGAGAAAGGGTCGAACTGGTCGAAGCGAACAAACCTCTATCTTAGTTTGTTCTCCAAGGAATAATAATAATTCGACGAGACAAAAGAAGGCAAGAGCTGCCCTTGGAGAGCGTGATAGATAAACGAGTGACTGGTGCTTTTTAACCTCCAAATCTAACAATGGAAGAGGAAGAGTATGATGTGTTATCGTTTACAATCCATTTACAATCTGAATACTATTTTATTTGGATTAAAGATGATGGATAAAGAGGTGCCTAGCAAAACTGTCAACTGCTATGTGGACGAGAGGGGGAGTATAGTGAAGCTGACGTTACGCATCCTGGTTCGCTAACGAGCCTCACAAAGGAATAGATAAATTATTACCTTTATCTGGTTAACGCAATATTGCATATCATTCTAATGCATATCCTATGTGAAATCAGCCTTTGCTTATGAAAATTCATGTGTTTGCTTCGTATCCTATTGTACTTCCAATCTATCTTTGAAGACCTGTATCTTCTGGCTATAATAGTTCGTAGCACCTTAAAATTTAGTGGTAATCATATTTTGTTATGTTATTTTGAATGCTAGATTAGAATTTCATTTGCGCAACAACACATTGTACTTCCCTTATAAGATATACAGGAATCTACATATATGAATTGTAAATAATTACTCACTTTCTACTATATAATCTTTGCTTTTTTTTAACACAGACAATCATTTTCACAAATTACAGTTACTTTATGACGAGATCTCATATGTATACATTGGTATTACATATTTATATATATGCATATATATTACATTTCAATTATCGAGTGTTAATAAAATTATTTAAAAATATCAGCTGCGAATTGTATATTTATATTTGCGTGTGTGTGCGTAACAATCATATATTACACATTACTGTGTACACATAGCACCATTGTTTCCAGAAAAATACGATTGCTTCTGAATTAATGTATAAATATTAAATATATAAACATATATTTTACATAGATATATATTTTATGTATCAAGAAAATATTTAAAAAACGATAACTATATATTCAGACTAGAATATAATAAAAAAAAAAGATCGATAAAATACTATAGCTTGTTATCCCTTTTCCATATGTGCAATCGATTGGATCAGCCTTATTCATAAAGTTAATATAAGAAAAACTTACAGCGAGAAACTTGTAAGTACTTATTAAGTTTGGAACAACAGCCGGATATTTTCACATCAAGAAGCGAAACGGGCGACATCGCAATTCGTAACATTAGCCGGATAACAGGACCTCATCCTCCGGCCTCGGCAAACGTCGGTAACGTTCCTGCGTTACCAAGTATGTGGATAAGCCTCCAAATGCTATGAGCAGCAATCCTATGAAGTTTATCAGCATTCCTTCACTCACGAAGGCTGAATATTTATTCCTGAAATTTCGAGCGCAGAAAAATGTATCTTTCAATCACTCGTTATTTTCCTGAACAATCTACCGGCTACTAACTGCAATACGTAGATCGCTTTCTCGTTGAGTCCCAACAAACACGAGGCAATCGCGCTCACAAAAGCTGCTACGCCGAAGTATACGTGCATTGGCATGTAAGAGGCTCGTAATGGAGATTGCAATCCAGGAAAGAGAAACGAGACGCATCCAGCAACCCACTGTAAAACAGAGCGTTGACACGTATCTCCGAATTATCAGGCAAGTTCCGTATATTTACCTGACAGCAGAATAATATTACGGTGGTCAGCCCGACCCAGCTGTGTAGCGAATACATGTTCGGTATAGGAGGCGAAGCTAGATTGTGGCTGTCAAAGACGGCTACTAGAGCGATCACCACTAACAATACAATAAATAACATCATTCCCGCGTGAGTCAACTTTAGTCGACGTTTGCGAACGTTTCTTTGCGTCCTATAGAGGAGCATAGCTGTAAGCAGAAAACAGAAAACTCGTAAATCGTATGCGACCATACGATGTAGGAAGCTACTTTTACACATACCATTAGCATACAGGAACACGAGTCCTATGGTCATTAACAAAGGATGCCAATTAAATTCGAGCCCTGGATTAGATCTCCATGAGAAACCATTTCTAAAGTAGCTTGTCCACACAATCACCAAGATTACGAGAAGCGCGCCGCATCCCTCAGTAATACTGAGAAGGGGAATGAAGCCTTCCAGAGAATGAGATTCCGTTTGTGGTGATTCTCTTATTTGCTCCATATCTAAAAAACGCTTTCACGTCTTATCGTATGACAGATAAATGTTAATAAATATAACAAACATTGATGAATATTAATAAACATAACATATGTGTACAGGAAATAATATACAAAGTAAATCTCAAAAGGAGAAAAACATGAAGTTAATTCTATAAGGGCTTTACATGATTAAATAAAATTTATCAAATTCTTAGCTGCTGCAGACATACCTAAGCATCTTACATATTCGTAGGGATAATTCGACATTGTGCGTAAAATCCAAATGAAAATAATAATGACGAATTTCTTTTCATGCAGATGTTATAATGCGACGGTGGGACTTTGTAGGAGCAACAGGTGAGACGAAAGACAGAAGACAAGCGGTTGATAGGTCTTTTACAAAAAAAAATAAAAAAAATAAAAACAAAATGCATACGAACGCCATTCTGGAAAAATGTGATGATTACGCATTTAAAGGTATCGACTAAAATATTAACAAAACGGAGCAATTTTCACGTTTAATTCCATACGAATTCCATATGTGCGAATTGCAGTGTGTACAAAGGAATAAGAGACGTTTCATGTGCGAAGTAAGCAACGTTATTAGATGACAGTGTATATGTTTCGTCGCACGCAGGCTGATACGGAATTTACTCGAATGACAGCTGTCACTTTTTATCTCTCGAACTAGATCAGGCGCTTATCGGCGATAATTGTTATCGCGAAACGATATGCATATACGTACAAGAGGGGCTTTCAACAAACGCAACAAGCCGTCTATCGCACGTACTCACCCTCACCCCCTGTGCAACTGTTGTAAAATAATACCTGTCGCCTGCTGTCGCCTGTCGGACACTGCCGGATAAGATCAACAAGTATCGTGAGATATATATGTATATGTGCGTTTAGGCCGTGTGACGTCACGCGATAGAGAACGTTTATCGATTTTTCTGCGAGATAAGGGGGAAGATGAGGCTCTCACCTGCAGCTCCGTACACAAGGCCGTAAAAATTGAAGCAGCATTTTGTAAAATCGCGTCAGCTGCCCGTATTGTGATTGATTTATGATATCTTACATTGCACTAAAAAATCACGGTTTAACCAATTATGACAGTAAATGTCGGCTCCTTTATTGATGTTGTGGATTACCAATTACGTGATACATACCGCCATGTACTTGGTTGGATAAAGCGCCATGTTTGAAAATGTAAATATTGTAAAATTTAAAATATTAAAAGTAAAATCTTAACACCTTATAAGTAGGTAAAGATATACCAGAAATTAAAGAATAAATATTTTAGACTTATTTATAATTATATTTTATTATTTATGAAATATAATAAACAAAATAGTAAAAATAATAACAATATACTTTACAAAAATAAATCATTATATGTATATATATATATATATATATATATATATATATTATGTGTAACATAATAGAAATTAATATAAATAAAATTTACATACATTTAAGAATATATAATTATAAAAATTTATATTAATACATTCGTCAAGATCATACAATCTTCGTTAATTTCAAATTTAGAGGCCAGAATATATATATATATATACTTTCAGGTAAGTGGTGTTTATCTCCTTATTATCGTGTATTATATGTAAGTATAGTTGATCCGTGAACGAACCTGTTAAATTGTTTACACTTTATTGGTTGTGACCAGACAAAAAATGGCAAAAAAAATCTCTGGTATACCGTATTACCAGTTTAAGGGGATCCTAAAGCGATGGCTGAACTTCCTCGATGTCGATAATGTCAACATTTCTAATCCTGTTTTCTCTATTACTACGTTTACGCGAGCTTTACTTCTGTAGTAACTTACGATATATCACTCGTTTACGCGGAGTAAATTATCGTAAGTTACTACAAAATCCCGTTTACGCGAAGGAATTATCGTAAGTTACTACAGAAGTAACGCTTGCGTAAACGTAGTATATGACATCTCATCTCGCGTGGAAGCAGAAATATGATATATACTACGTTTACGCGAGCGTTATTTCTGTAGTAACTTACGTAATTCCTTCGCGTAAACGGGATTTTGTAGTAACTTATGATAATTTACTCCGCGTAAACGAGTGAATTATCGTAAGTTACTACAGAAGTAACGCTCGCGTAAACGTACACGGAGAAAATTTTATAGTAAATATTACTATGGTGTCGCACTAGCTACGGACCATCAAGGAATTTTAAGTTAAATTACTATGTTTATGGTAAAAATTACGTTATTTTATCGTTTTTAAAACAATAATTATAGTATTTTAACTTGAAATTCCTCGATGGTCCGCAGCTAGTGCGACACCATAGTAATATTTACTATAAAATTTTCTCCGTGTAGTAATAGTGAGAAGGTTCGAATACTTCGAGCTATTTTATTCTAAAAGTGTACATATTTTTTATTTTATGGAGAAACGGTGGATTTCCTAAAATTAAATATATAAAGATTATAATGTAATTTTCAAGAGAAAACAGCGGACAAAATCTGCCAATATTTATTGTAGCTTTCATGAGTTTATTTCAGAACAGTATAAAAATAAATTTTTACAACGAACTTTACGGAAAGCTGTTTTAGAAACTGTAACTAGAAAAAGTTCACAGGAGATATATTTCTAAACGAAAGAAACATACGGTTGCGGAAAAAAATATCAAGAATTTACTAACGATGTTATTAATGTAGTTTTTCTAGTATTTCGCTGAACAATTATTTCAAACAAATGTCACCATCGCCCAAAAAATTCAAATTATGAAAAAGAAAAGAAAGATAAAACTAGTATTAATTTTACCTTTTGAAGATCTTTTGGAGATCTAAAGAAACTAAACTCCCTTAATTTTATCTGTGAGATTTTTACAATCTTTTACAGCGCAAATATATCCATTACCACACTTTAATTTAATATTTCTTTCACAGATCTTGTGTGAAGTTTAATCTAACCTTACAATTATGACCATGTTGGATTTTTGGTTGCGCATGCGCACCGAAATGTTCACCTTGATTTTCGGCTATCATAATTGGTTAAAAATGTGGATGACATATAAAAGTATTCTGTACTGTAGTTCGGTCGCGATTCTAGCTTGTCGTCTTCTCCACGGCGGACCGGGCGAACGGCGGACGTTCGGTTCTGGAAAAGGGGAAGAAACAGCTGTTCGGTGGTGGACATGTTTATCGGCGCGACCGCACGGGGATGCGTTGTCGTTCCGGGGCACGTACGACGTCGGCTCGCGAGATAACGACGGCCGGGAATGATGTGATCGCGGAATGTGGGACGATCGCGAGTCGGTGGTGAGCGCGCTACGACGTCCGGTGCTACGTGCGTGAGAAGCGCGGTTCCTTTACGCGGGTTATGTTTCGTCGGCTCCGCGCGCAAGGATCATGGCGCAGTGCAAGTTAACCCCGCGGGAGTTTATCGGCAACGCTTTCTCTCCGCAGATCGCCGTGGTCTGCTCGGCCGCGGCCGACGCCGCATGCCAGAAGAACAATCTGTCGTTCGTCGAGCTGCTCCAACCGTTTTGCAAATTAAATACCGAAGGTAAGCCGGGAGGCCGCGCCAAGCTACGTCATCCATCCGTCGAGCATACCCACGCATTGTTGTGTAAACTGTATGTACAGGGTGTACCAAAAATCATATTGAGACCACCACGTTGAATGGCCACCGTAGTTTCCAAAACTCCCCTCTGGTTTATCTTCCATGGGATTTTCTCAAAACAGTAGCTTATGCCATGCAATCAACTCATTGTCAACAAGAGATGATCTAAAGGACACTATCACACTAGCATTTACATCAGGGAAAAGTGTTGTCACACTTAAAAATATTCAAAGATGATGTGACGAATAAAGACGCGTTTGAAAGAAAATAACAAGCAATTTGAACATTTAGTTTATAAAAATTGTCTGTAGGGCCTGACTTTTGGTATACTCTGTATGTGTATCATTAAAGAGGATTTCATTTTCACATGTGCTCAATGATTTTTTCACTATGCACCGTTGACAGCTATGATCCAAGCTGTGTATGTACATATTAGATACTTTGAAAATTCGAGGTTCACAATCTATATATTCTTCACAATCTATAATCCTTCACAATCTATATATAAGTTGTGTTAATATTGCCCTTAGGTCACTTTAAGGATCCTCAAGGCAATACGATAGCGATTAGAAATCTTCGTCTTTCCATACAAGACATTAGCGCGCGACCACCAGAACCGAGTCTTGCCAAAAAGTTGTTGAACGAAGCGGTCAGTTCTGCTCTGTGCGAACGTACAACCACAGTGCCCATCAGCTCGACCGAGTTAGATATCCCCGTCTCCGTTCCTTGGTTCGAGGCATGGAGAGAAACGTTTCTGAGCGTCCAGTTTCCATCTGATCATGAATTTACAAAGCATCTGCTTGCGTGCATGATAGTTGTTTCCACAGCGGAGGACAATCCATTGGAAAGAATTCAGACTATGGGAGCGCAATTGCATCAAAGTATACCAGGAAAGTTGCCTAAATGGTTTAACAATAATGCCCTTAGGTATTACATCTTAGTTCACGACGCTATTCAGGATGACAGAAATAAGTAAGTATTATTGTTCATGTATTCTCTTTAAAATTTGGATAAATTTTTTTGCATTATGTACTATAATTAAGTTAAGTGAAATTATAAAAGGGATAGAGAGAAATCCAAATTTCAACTTTATGATGTTGACAAGCGTTTTAAATTAATAGATTAGTTTTTTTTTATTATTATTAAAAATAAGTATATATTTTCATTAAATCCGTTTTTCAGAGCAGAAACAGTTTTTACAGACATGAAGACTATTTATGGTGCTAATAATTGCTTTTTATTGCAAATGAATTCGAGACCGCCTGGTTTTTCCGACGACAATACGCATTTGCCTGACCCTTGGAGTCAGTTCTTAACAAAACATTCAGAATTGGCTGGTAGCAGCGAACAGAATAGTTCCCCTCGTACACCTGCGGATATAGGTGGAGTATCTGCCATGCCGAGCGAGCTGACTACAGAGACTGAAAAGTACATTTTTTATACAATATATTAAAATTTATAATTATATAATTATAAATTATATTATAAATAATATATTAGCAAACTCTTTGGCTCTTATAATTTAAATATATTTCGAAAATGTTTAGTCTGCAAAAACAAAAATTTTTACTGCAGAACAAGCCAAGCCGGAACACCGCTAATGCCGCATAACTGCGTTACATTGCCATCTCCAGATTTAGCCGAACTAGTTTCCGGAATTGACACAATTAGTCTCTCATCTGAAATATCCGAGTCGACAAATACAAATTTAGAAGTTGGACAAGAAGCAGTTCCAGTTACAATTCATCCACTCAGTCCAGAGAATGAGAAAGGCTTCATTCCCGCGACTAATGTCAAGGGTCAATCCATTGTTACTAACTCACCAATAAATACCAATGTCTGGGCGGATTCTCCAAATTACGTAGTTGCTCAACACGGTGCTCGTCTTTCCACCCAAGATCTAGAAAGATTACGGACACTAATAACGGAATTCTGTTTGCGAAGCTTGTTGCCTTATGTAGAAAAGCAGATTGGCCTATTGAACGATGTAATTTCGAACAAGAGGGTCAGTAGATCGCTATTTAGCGCTACGAAAAGGTGGTTTACTACAAATAAGCCTGGTGTGCCAGGTTCGGCTCCATCAAATGCTGTAATGTAAGAGAAAATCATGTCTCGATGAATCTTTAAAGAAAAGGATTTTTCTCATTGATTCTTTTCTTGAAATTAATTATATTAACATAATTCCTTCGCACGTTTGTGTTTTAGTTACACAACAGAATCGCCAGAATTACAATTACGACGCTTAGGCGATCTATGTTTCATGTTCGGTCACTACTCGCTCGCTTATCAGGCTTATCACAGTGCAAAGCGCGACTTCGCGGCGGATCAAGCATGGGTATATTACGCGGGCGCTCTTGAAATGGCTGCTTTGAGCGCTTTCATGCAAGGCGAGACAAACAGGAAGACCATCGAGTACATGGACGACGCGATATTGACGTATGCGAACACATGTAAGATGCCTCAGTTTGCAACGAGGGCGACGCTGCTCAGCGCCGAGTGTTTGAAGGGTCGGGGATTGTACGGAGAAGCCGCGAAGCAGTTAATACGGATGACCAGTGAGGATTCCGATTTACGTTCGGCTTTGCTGCTCGAACAGGCCGCTTATTGCTTCATCGGTCCGAAAATGATGCGCAAATATGCCTTCCACGCGGTTCTGGCTGGACATAGATTCTCGAAGGCCGGCCAAAGAAAGCACTCCTTGAGATGTTATCAGCAAGCGTATCAGGTAGGCATAAACGTATTTCTCTAGAGATAGTCTCTAGTGAATACGTCGCATTTTGCCAGAAACTTTCCTCTGCAAAAAATTTTGTTATTTTATAAATAACATATGACACTAGGTGTATTATGAAAGGGGCTGGTCTTTAGCAGAGGATCACATCCATTTCACGATCGGCAGGCAAGCCGCATCCCTGAAACAAGTCTCCGAGGCGGTGAAGGCGTTTGAAAAGTTACTTAATGCTTCTAGTAAACAGCACGCTCCGCAACAGGCGGCGTTTTTACGAGAATTTTTACACACTTATAACGTGAGTATAACACGCGGCGACACAAGTGGCAATTACAATGGATATTGATGGCTTATTTATTTATGGCCGTGCGCAGTTACTGTTTCAGGAAAACGGTACGAGTTGTACAGGACTTCCCATTTTGCCTTTGCCGCTATTGGATAATAACAATATCAAAGTGCTGTACGGTCCGTTGGGCAAACAAACCGAAAGCAATATTCCAGCGAGTCACGTCACGTTCACCGAAGAAACGGATGACGCGAGATGGTCGAAAATGGAGGAACTGTTGATAACCGAGGCGCAGGGTTTTCCGCCCATGATATTTAAGCCGACCGTCGCGCTATACTCTAGAATAAGTAATAACGCTGTAAAACCTAACGCGGTTCTAGACGAACCAGTGCATTATTCTATCGAATTGCACAATCCGCTACACGTCCCGCTACCGTTGTCTGACGTGACTCTGTTGTGGTCATTCACTTGCAATAACGAGACTATCACGAACGAAATAAAAACGATCGACGGCTCAAACCCGGTCGATTCGGACGTTATAGACGCGATTTTGTTGCAACCGGCATGCAAACAGAATATCGTGTTGTCTCTCACGCCTAGGAGAGTGGGCGAATTGAAGATCTTAGGTATAAGTTATAAATTATCCAATCCGGTACAGACGATAAGCGATTCACCGGTCGCAAACTCGACCATCATCGTCGCCGGTAAGAGATTGTTTGAGATTACACCGCCCAAACTGAAAGGTATCAAAGAGAAACCCGGCGTGAATGTGTACGGGAAGGATTATAGGCTGGAGATGAATGTGATAGAGAAGGCGGCATTTATGCAGGTACATTCTTCGAGAAACGACATTACATGCCGTGCGACATAAAAATTTAAAATTTGCATTTCTCTTTGCAGATACTCTTCACTAAATTGTCGCCAGAAATGCTGTGCGGCGAAGTACAAAGGGTGGAAGTCACTTTAAAGAACATAGGTAACGCACCGTTGACGAACATATATATTGCATCCACCGATGCCAAACTTTTCACGTTAGGGAACACGGAAATCGATACATTCGGAAATGAAGGTAAGCATCTTTAGGACATATACTTTATTTTGTCACTATTTTTCTGTAGATAAGATAGTTTTGTATTTCTGTCTAAAGTGTTTGTTATTGTTGTATAATTTATCAAATAGGATAATATTGTGCTTGCAGATTTAATTGCAAGGAAAAGCAGTAGATCAGTTACAAAGGTGATATTACCGGTCTCCAAGAACGGTGTGTTAAATGTAGGCGAAACTCACAAAATGCCACTTTGGGTGCAAGCACCGCACGTGAAGGGCACTCACAGATTAGATCTGCTCTTCTATTACGAAAGCGTCGAATCAAAAGCTGCTTCGAAGCACCGTTTGTGCCGGCACACCTGGCAATTAACGGTGTTGGATTCGATACAAATTACCGCGGTCGCCGCCAGAAGCGGACTGTTCAAACATGACTCGCCGACGTTAAATTTAATCATGTCCGTTAAGAATACCAATCAAGTTCACGATCCATCCATAAACGAGATTATCCTGTCCGAAGTGTCGCTACAGAGCGCCGTGTGGTCTGCGTTTCATTCCTCGGTTCTACCACCAAGCGTAAAAGTGCAACCTCAAGAGGTGTTCCATCTGATGCTGAAGCTGAAGAAGAAGAAGGCCGACGGCAAATCAACCATTTCCGACGTATCCTTAACTCCTAACGAAGATGACAAGACACTGATCGACAGTTATCCGTTTATCAGTTTTGTACAGAGACGTTACATCCAGCCACTGGACGTGAATGAAAGTGCGAGTGACATGCAACAGTTTCAATCACAACATAATGCCGAGCGAAACTCCATATCGAATATTATGGCATTAAATTCCACGCTGATTGTGAAGTGGTGCGCCAACGTGACGGAGAGCGGCGTGATCACCCGAATGGCGGTTGGACAGCATCACCTCGAGCTCGAGCATTTAAACAAGACGTATAAACATCCGAAGGAACCGCGTACCGAGCGTAACGAATACGGCGCTCGGTTGAAAGTCTTCGGCCCGGACCGGAACGTATCGAATATAGTAACTGTCCCGCTTAAGGACCCCGCATGGGAAGCGGAATATCTGAAAAGTCTAATCTCTTTTTCCCTCGGTCATCAAAGGCAGGTCACGCACGATTTTCGGCGAAGTCGATTGTGCATTGTTCCCGTGACAATGTATCTGCAAAATCACTCAGAGGCGCGAGTCGATGTTAAAATAAGTACGATAGGTACCAGCAGGTGAGAGATAAAATATCTATAATATAATATACAAAGTATTGTATTACTTACTGTTAGTGTGCTTAACATCGTAATTTTGCTCTTCTTAATTTTTTTCTTTACCATTACGTGCTATATACATACGTGTAATCCTCTTTTGCAGCGAAACTCATCTTCCGAATATTAAGTCACAACTGTACTCACCGCAGGCTTCGACGTACTACAAGTACGCTGGTCACTCGTCAATTTATTCTGACGTCGAAGCGCACGCAAGTAATACCATGAAGCTACACGCCGTGCTGCCCAGCGCGGGAACGTACGACCTGGCGGCGCGAATAGAGATCTCCGTTAAAGTTGTAAATAGTCAGGAATATGTCGCGCAGAAAGGAAAAATGGAGAGTATATGCATAATTAATGACGGCAGTACATAAATTAATACCTATCGCGATTACAGTCACTAACAGATATGGAAGTGCTATTTTCAGTATAACTCAGAATCATTCCTTGTCAGTATATGTACATACGCCGTATGTTGAAAATTGTTACATTATATTATAATTGATATTTTAATAATGTCAACATATTTTTTACCTGATATATCACGTTTCAGCGTCGATTGCTTTACGTGGATAATTATTTTTTGTACTTCGATGGTCGAGTACACGAGCGTGATACGCAACCAAACCGAAATCTCTTGTCTCGGGATCGATTACATTTAGTTGGTTTTGCTAATGTGATTACTTAACTTTTTTACGACCTGTTGATCTCGAGCTACCTCACAATAAATTACGAATAAGCAGTCGAGCGCGTGGTGAGGAATTTGAACAGATTTTTTTTACCGCATCGCGCTCAATTGAGCGACGACTGCGTATCTTTAACTGCCAAACTAATGACACGCGTTACCTTTTATCAAGACATATCGTCTGTAAAGCACCTTTATAATTATCAATCACTTTCGTGCTACCATCTTTGCTGTTATCGGCGAAAGAAATTCCTTTTCTTTACGCGAATGAGTTCATTTAAATCTCAGACGTGTATGGAACAAGTGAAAAATAATTTCTTTTGTCGCGTGCAAAAGAAATTAGAGATATCGTTTTCGTTTCTCTGTAAACTCAATATGTATATTATGTTCAGTGATTAACGATGTGATTACTTATGACGACAGCATAAAAAAATAGAGATTTTTCAAACGTTTCGCAAACGCATGAAACGCGAATACGTATTAAGGAAAGGATTTTGAAAGTGTTCGGATGAAATTCAAAGGAACAAAATAAGGAATATTTAAGGTCTTTTAGGTAATAGGCTTGTATTTTTTGTACAGTGTATTTCTTAAGAAATAAGAATGTGTATTAAGTCAATTTTCATGAACAGGAGTCTCAGTATAAATTATAATATAATGCGAGAAAGAAACCCTGTACATAAAACTTGTCAAATTCGCGAGTTAAGTAAATAATGGGCGAAGTTATTCAGCACTTTTAATGATTAGAATGGCGTTTGTAGCATACTGTCTTTCCATAACACGTTAAACTTCCCGTTAAACATGAAAATTTTTAAATAACTCTTGTAAAAAGAATATATAATTACTATAGGATGAATTATCCTTTATAAAATAAAGAGGTCTAGGTTTTTTGTAAATCTAAAATGACATGTGTTAGAATATATTTATTCTGTAAGTATATCTCAAGGAGTGTACTGAACCTTTGATAATGCATTACAAATATATGTACAATCATGTAGATATAGTTAATATAAATGTAATTATTTCATGTAACAATTGCATATACGTTTGTGCACATTTTTTTACGTCGCGGTTGTTTGTTCCTGTGTGTCGTTTCCTTACATAATATAAATTTGTTGAAAGAAGTTTCGAGAATCTGTAAAGGTGCCTTTTCATGCTGACACTCGACGCTCATTTTCAGCGGCAAGAAGGTCGCATGACCACAATTGAAATTCATGAAAAGGAAAACAGCGTCAAAATTTCGGCGTCTTCGCGCTGCTTTGGCTTTGACGCTTGAAGTTGGAAAAATCCAACTTCTCTTTCTTGACGCTGGACATCATAGTGATGTCACGTGACGTCGCTCAACGCTGTTTTTCAGCGTCCCATGAATTGGCACCTTAAGGTGGTTCTTGCATTTAGGTCATATGTACTTAGCCCGGAAAATTTAATATGAAATGAAAGATTAACGTTCCTCGAGTGTGTCTGTAAAATTTCGGATTTTTTAACCGATTGGTTCCGGAGATATATGTCCGTAAACTTTGCCAATTTAACGCGGTGGAGGGACCCCTTATCCGAAAAACGAGGTTAAAGCGCTTATGCTGCAAAAATTGCAATACTTCAAAACTAGATAAACGAACCAAAAACTGACGAAACGATGCAATAAACATTTTGCAAGATACTAGATAAAAGCCCGAGTTCATTGACCGTACCATATATTAATAAAACGTAATTTTTGATTGACTAAATCGACAATTATGGAACTGACGGCTGGACTCGAGCGGCATTAGCAGCAGCTTGGCAACGTCGCATGTGTCAGCTGATGAGTACAGCGCATATCTCAAAAAATTCGTTTACCATGTTCTGGACGCCGAATAAAGCAAAGGGTGAAATAAAAATATTTGTCCATTTCTGAAAAGAATTAAAATTAGGTTGCATCAAGATCTGCAATACTGAATAAATACAAGTTTCAATACAATGAAGTTATAAAATGTCCAAATAATTTTAAGGGGATGCTGGAGCCGTCTGTTTTACCGGCATTTTTTGTCGGCACGTAGCGTCGTATTAATTTGACATAATTAAAAATCCTTCTCCAGAATTGCAGTACATACATTAATGATTCGGGGAAACTCCGATTTTATATAGAAAACGAGAAAAAATTACGGAAGTACAGATTTCCTTATCCTACTCTTATCCCAATATGGCGTCTCGAGTTGCGGCGAGCTGTCAGCTCGTCACAAGATGTATTTCATATAAGAGATATACCATTGGTACGAACGCGAAAACAAGTTTCCCCGAATTGCACAACAAGAAAAACATCGATAAACCCCCCAAATCAAGATTTGGAAGCGTAATATAAAAGTATAATGTCGGTATGCATCGTGCGTATGTGTGCGTGCAATGTAGCGTGCTATCCTTGTCTATATTTTTGTCTATACAAGGACAGATATAGGTCGCCGGTCTTCTTTACCGACGCCGATCGAGTTCGGCTACGGCTCCAGAATCCCCTTAACATGCATCATTATTTATTCGTTGCCGCGCTGCTGTTGTACATATAATGGCTGCATTCGGGGAGCGCGCTATTAGCGCTATTTGCTTATTCTATCCTTGTTTTACATTTAATGAGCGATAAAGATAGAATGATACAATAGCGCTAATAGCAGCCTCTCCGAATGCAGCCAATATGTTCACACGGCTCACAATTCTAGTAAAAGATGTGACTTTTGTCTCAACTAGACACTACAGACGCGCGCTACGCGCGCGCTATTTATCTTTAACATTTCACTATTAACCCTATTATACACAACTGTCAAAATATACAATGACAGCTGCAAATGAAGTAAGCGCAGCAAGAGAACCAATCGGCATCGCGGAAAAGCGGCAACAATAAACTTCACATCTCCTTTTTAGAAGAGGATATTTTAATTACGTAGAGGTCGTATAACATTAAAGATGTTATAAATAATAAATCTAATTATATGCTGATTTTTACGGACAAAAATCATACTTATTTATCACTAATAAAAATAGTTGCCTATTTGACTAGCAAGTACTGCATGAACCACCTTAATGTGCGCGACTTTATGAAAGGTAATTGAAGTAAAAATTAGAGTATTAATTCATCCAATAATTACAATTACAATTATGAAGGATGTATAACGTATTCATTTCGAAACACGCGCCACTAATAAAAAAATGTTTAGAAAATACGATTGGTGCAATCATTGAATATCGTTTGCGATTGGCGCGTAGATATTTTAGATTCACCAATCAGCTTCAGATTTTCAAAAGATGATCGTCCAAACATGGCAGGTTGGCAGGGAATTTTTGTGATCGAAAATTGGCAATCCTGCTTAACGTGAGACTTTTCACCACCAATCACGAAGAACTTCACGCTTCACGTTATTGAGGCAATCCCAGGCAATCTGTCGTCTTTCATTTTCTTTTCCTCGTGTGGTTAGCTCCGTTTTGGAGTCGGTGAGATATTATATTTCTTTATCCATTATTATCTACCGACATCGTAATATACATTAAATGTTTTCTTGCATGCTGCGTTTCTTACAACTATTCCGGATACGTTAATTTATGTATTTCCAGCATTTGTTTATGTGAACTTAATTTAATTTGCAGGTTAAAATGGGACGCCGACCAGCGAGGTGGTACGTAATGCGATTTTTAATTCGTCGCCCTTATAAATTATATATGTATATATACCTTGTCAGCAAGTTTTGTAAAATCTTTTTCCGTCCACCATATGGTATTTCGATACGAAAAATTATCCCATATGTCGTTTTCCATGTCTTATGGAGTTTGATTTTTTACTTAGGCATATTTCAGATTCAAATTTGCAATTACGTTATTTTGCGCAACATCATAACGATAAAAACGCATTGTAATTCTGTTTTAATATTACACATAATAACAATACAAATTTAATATTGAAATTTAAATGTTGAAAGATATTAAAATACATAACAGTATTACTACATTTTGAGAATCTTTTCTTTTTAGTTATCGGTATTGTAAAAATAAGCCGTACCCGAAATCCAGATTCTGTCGCGGTGTGCCAGACCCGAAGATCCGCATTTTTGATCTTGGAAAAAAGAAAGCTTCCGTCGAGGACTTTCCATTGTGCGTGCACTTGGTATCGGATGAATATGAACAGCTAAGTTCCGAGGCTTTGGAAGCCGGACGTATTTGTGCTAACAAATACATGGTGAAGAACGCTGGAAAAGATCAATTTCATATTCGTATGAGACTCCATCCCTTCCATGTTATCCGCATCAACAAAATGTTATCGTGCGCTGGAGCTGATAGGTATGTAACTGGGCGTGACATAAGATAATAAAACTTATTTCTTTCCTACAAGTATACTACACTTGAAATTTTTCAATTTTTGTAACTTTGGTTCTTATTCTATAGTCTAATAAATTATCACCGAAAAATTATGCGATTTGTTTTCAGGCTTCAGACTGGAATGAGAGGTGCCTTTGGCAAACCTCAGGGTACTGTGGCCAGAGTACACATTGGTCAGCCCATTATGAGCGTGCGTTCTTCCGATCGACACAAGGCGGCTGTCATTGAAGCTCTGCGACGTGCCAAGTTCAAGTTCCCTGGTCGTCAAAAGATTTATGTATCGAAGAAATGGGGCTTCACGAAGTACGATCGTACTGAGTATGAGGAACTGAAAGTCGCAGGCCGCCTTGCCCCAGATGGCTGCAATGTTAAGTATCTACCCGAGCATGGACCGCTCGAAGAATGGAAGAAATTCAGGAAGGTACTTGCTACAGCTTAAATAAACATTGGACATTTTGGACATTGAATTGAATAAAATGTATCAGAAAAAAAACAAAGTGTATATTATCTTCTAAAAAACCCTAGAACAATCTGAGTAGAATGTAACATCCAGAATTATTTATTTTTGAAAGTTTGAGTTAATATCAATTCTTACTTAAAAAAATATATATTGAATTAGCATGGTTTTATTGAAAAAAAAATTATGTGGAAAAAATGAATATAAAAGATGTAAATACTTATCTCAAAGAGGTTTTAAGTGAATGACAGGTTTGACAATCAATTTGAGATTTATGTGTATCACCATGCTACAGATTTACTATCTAATGTCCAGCTCATATATCTAGTTAAGGCTCGAGCCTTAAATATAGTTACTGTCTATGAAATAAAAATCGGTAAACGCCGAATGGAAGCACTTTTATTACCTATCAATTCATATGTAAAATGAATTTAATAATTACACTTTACTGTTCTAAAAAATGCGATATTATATAACATTTCCTTTTTACAAAGTACTGTCCCAGTCTTCACAATTTGATAAATTGTGATATATACGCGTTCTACTCGAGATTCTAACAATTATAGTATAAGAATTTGTAAGAAATGCAGTTTTTCGCATCTTACTTGTTCATGCTAGGACCTGAATCTGACTTGTAGTTTTAAGACAGTGTTTTATGCTTTAAATCTTTGATTTTAATAACGCACAATGCTATCTTGTATCTCAAGTCTTACAAATATATTGACACTTCGTACACACGTTTAAAACGTGACGCAAGGCAGTATAGTGCATTACTAAAAAGATTTAAAACATAAAACATTGTCTTAACATTAGAAGTTAGCTATTCTGCTCAGGCCCTTAAGTTGCATAATAAAACATTGTATACTATTAGGGGCTTTCCATTTAGTTACGCAATTTAATTCTTTACGTCTACTTTCGCAAGAGTATTCTTCCGACCAGTACCTTGAAAAATAGAGGAAACAAATCTAATCTTAAATCCTATTTGTTAAATTATATATAAATTTAGTTTTACAAAAATAAATACTATAGGTATATTCTCAATGTAGTTGCGCGCGCGCGCGTGTGTGAACACAAATATATCTACAATATAATTAATATTATATAGACCAACTTATATTCTAAATTTATATTCACAAATTATAATGGCTTTTCATTTATCGTATTGCACTCGTCGTCTTCAGCTAACGTATATCTCTCCCACTGCATCACTCCATCGCTCTTTTTCTTTTTTTCCCTCGTTAAAAGTCACATAAATGGAAAGCACTTACGCTGGGCTAATCAAAATGCATGCTTTAGTGAGTTACATTTGAGAAATTCAGTATAGTTGTAATTCAAAGTCTTTGAATAAATAAATGAATTGTACTTCCAATTTAATATAAAACATTTCGTAAACGATACCTGATGAAAGAAGAATGAATATCGTGCAAAGATATATTCACGGCCACTTTCTAGTGCGAGTGACAGGTAATGTCTGCGTCATTTTCGTTTCCTGTCGTTTGAATCTCGTCGTCAATGTCAATATCGCATATTCTATGGGAATGTACATCTAAAGCTTCAGTGCTCGTTGCTGCATCTAATAATGGCGATAACTTCTCCGCTTCGCTATCTTCGTCTTGGCCTTGTCCCTTTATTAAAAATGATGTCTAGTAAACGCGAAATTTTTATGGTTGAGTTGGTCGTAATTAATCACATTTTTGAAATCGTAATTTAAAAATGAACAGCGATTTCCTAACCAGACTTGTCCCACCCAGTCCAAATTGTTGGTGCGAAGTTGCCTTACTCTACTTTTTTTTTAATCCATAAAAATAGCATACCTCGTATAAAGAAGCTGGTTGTTTCTCATTAACCAATCTCAATGTGTCGCGTGTTCTTAAACCAGATTTATCGCGCGTATGTACCGATTTGGTGCGCATAGCTGGAGATCTATTATGCAACTCCTTTTGAGAACCAGAGTGTTCGTCCCTGGCTAGTAATACGGACATACGAAATTCGGGAGTCGGACAAGCGGTACCGCTAGACCTGGCCGACATATCAGTTTCTTTGGCGGATATGTGTTTTGAGACCGGGGTACGTTCGGTCGAGCTGCAAATGGGCACGTTTTTCATGTAGATTATTCCACGTATGTTATTTACGTAGTGATTATAAGGACATATGGATACGAGACGAACCGATTTAAAGTTTCCGCGGCTTGAATGGCACTCGCCGTATCTGTATCGGGAGTATCGGGTGATTCTGGTGCAATAATGACAGTTCGTGGAGTGTAAGGTCCATTTAAAGCTTCTATCAGAGACACTGCTTCGTAGCCCGATGGGATATTCTCGCAACTTCCCTGGAATAATAATTTCAATGTGTATCGGTCACATAGTACTCAGTGAAGCAACAACAAATAAGAAACACGTAGAGATTGCGTTAATTCAGAAATACTATCACGAAATACATTCAAAGTAAAAAAAAAAAAAAAAAAAAGATAAAGCGTGCAAGTAATCTGACTATTATTTCACTACTCTCACCTCTGGCAATGGTGGATTAGATATAATTGTCCCGGTCGCTTTCTGAAGAGCTTTAATCTGCAAGAGCGCCCTGAACGGTGCGCGACATATCGGACAGTTGTTTGCTTGATATCTCAACGAATCGGCGCAGGAGTTGCACAGGCACAAGTGTCTGCACGGCAAAATTAACGTGTCGCGTACTTCGCTCATGCAAATAACACATTCGGAGCCATTGTCCTCGGTATCCTCATCGCTGCCTTGTTGCTATATGAAAAAAGAAAGTAAAGCTGAAGCTCCGAAATCTCAGTCTCGATTTTCTTGAAACTTTGTGAAAGTATCTCAAATTTTTTAAACGAATAGAATTAAGTCGAAATAGAGGGATAAATATCTAAATCGTAAGCGTGAGATTATTTATTTTCCTTCTTATTTCACATGCAAAGATAAAAAATTATATATTTAAATTTTATATATGCCAAATATTCGTTTAGGAGCATCTAAAATACTGTCACTAAATTTCACGAAAAGAGGAAGACACTTCTTCTAATTTTATCTGGAAGCGCATACATACTTACAAGGGGATAACCAATCCTTGACATTTTGCTAAACTTATAATAAATGTTACAGTACACTCCGTTCACCAATACAAGGTACAGTAACTCTGTCTAATGTGCAATAGTTTATGAAATATTAATGTTAAAAATATTGTTTTTATATCAATGATAAATAAACCGTGCTTATGCAAAGAAGTTGCATTCATAAAATGCGCTTGGTGCAAATTAGTAATGTATTTTAAATGTTTCAATGATAGATGACATTCAAAAACGTGTACACATTCTGACTATATTATTGATAGCGCACAAGTTGAAAGTTCCGACACCGAAGATTAGTTGTCATGTAATGTATTTTTGTTAATTGTGATGTACTTATTTATAATGTCCCCTTATAATTCTATTTTTCTTATTTATAATACATAATTATAGTACATAAATTTTTTTTACAGAATTTTAAAACAATTACGCACACGAAAAATTTTAAACATTATTATTTCATGAACTATTACGCATTGAGCAGTTACTGTACCTTGTATTAGTGAAAGGGTAACTATACTGTAATATATTAAAAATTTAGTAAAATTCAAGGGGTCAACGGTTGGTTGTCCCCTTATTAGAATAATCTACTCAAATATTATTGTATACATTCTCATACTTTTGCATTTTCAGTATTCTTATTCTCAATTCCATATATCTCCTGTACTAAATAGCAAAGGCCGTCCACATAAAGCTTCTGTTTAAGTGCTTTTAATACGTATGTCCCATCAGAATGTTTTTCAACCACGGCTATGGTTGTATGAGATTGTTTTAGATCGTCCGATCCTTCCTCTGCTACACAATGTATAGCTATTGGAATAATCTAAAAATTAGAAAAAAAATGTTTCATTCTTCTTGAAAACATCAATCTTACTAAAGACAATATATGTATATATGTCGTAAATACTTCTCTATCTGCATTGTATATTAAATCTTCTTCAGTGTACAATGTTGGATCGAATATGTGCGACGTTTGTGAGAACAATTGGTTTGCTCCTTTTTTATAATGATATGTTTCAGAGTTCATAGATGGATCCCGTGGTATATATCTAGAGTCAATAAAAAAAATAATTTGTTTACCAAACGTTTTCTGTGCAGCAATGTCCCTTACATTTACAATGTACATACGCAACTCCTTTCGTTGAAACTTCTTCCGTACAAAAGTAATAAATCGTTATCGCACATCTCACGTCGCAGTCGAACACAAATTCAATGTTAAAACGGTTGGGTTTCTTGTCAATATCGCTGTCGCCATAGTGCTTGACACTGTGGTAATGCGAGGACGTCGATGTTTGGTCCATATTACGAACCAGCCTCAGAGACTCCTTGCGTATGTTCACTAAGCTCTTTAATGTCTTTGTAGGATCGTTGGCTTGTGGCGGAGGATATGGAAACTGAAACAAGAATGAAATGTGATTAATAGCTCTTTACAACAAAGAGTAAATGAAAGCTATAGCTCAACATATATGCGTCTACATTTAAATAGATCCTTTGTACAAGAAAATTTTTTTACATATAAAAAAACTAATTGTACAACGTTCATACAGGAGTTGGTCGGCTGCCTAAGAAATTCAGATCTGCATTCTCTCCAAAGAGATACGCCTCAGGCTGAGGCGTGTCAAATCGCTCACCGCCCATTATGAAATGACTGCCAAAGTAGGACCCTGTCGGGAGTAATTCATGTATTAATGAAGTGGCAGAAGGGACGTTATGCATTACTCTGTAAATGCGATTTTTAAGTCATATACCGGATCGTGGAGGATATTTATACGCGTGGTTCGAAGTGATATCAACCTCCTCGACTCCAGCGTTCTGCCTACTTGTCAACGATCCCATCTTGTTTAGCAATCACAACACGCGGTCAAATGGCAAATCGTATTTGTCTTACGTTCGATAACGAACAGTGGGTGTACGCATATATTCGTAAAAATCCACCGCTAAGCGATCGAAAACTACTGGGATTTGTCACATTGATTTGCGTAAAATTAATTTGACTTTGTCGGTTTGTTGTTATGGATAAAAAAGTCGAAAATAAAAAACAATGCGCGAAAGGAAGGTTTTGCGAAAGCAAGCATGAGGTTGTTTTCTATTGTAGAACTGGTGCTGCCACGGAGGTAAAGGAGTCAACCACCATGAATCACTAGTACACGGAATTCCTATATAGCCATGGCGGGCGTGTATCGACCATAGAGATATAAGAATAGAGTGCGCGAGCGAGCTGAAAAAGCGATATAGGAATAGAAAGAGAAAGCTGCGCAGAATAGAAAGAGAAAGCTGCGCATGGGCCCCTTCTGTCTTTGGCTGCATTCCGATATTCACTGTCAGCAACTTTCAGTACTGAAAATCTATAGTATACGTGACGTAAAATATAGATTTGCAGTACTGACAGTGAATATCGGAATGCAGCCTTTGTTTCGCATGCACGCGTAGACAAAGACAGAAAGGGCCTATATGCAGCGTTCTTTTTCTATTCCTATATCGCAGCCTCTTACGTGCTAGCATATCTCGCGCACTCTATCCTTATATCTCTTATGGTATCGACCATGGTAGAAAGAAAACAAGGTATGCTCGTTAGAGGGGTCGAAATTGAGCATGTTCTGCGCAGACATGGCGACGGCCAAGCGAGCGCCATATTGAATATATATAGATATACTTTATGTATATACATACGTCAGAAGTGAACGTGTTCGGCTTAATTTGTCTTTTTTAAAATGCCTATGTGTAGTGTAAGTAGATGCAAAAATAGAAGCGAGAATGCAAAAGAGAAAAATATTCAATTTTTTTCTTATCCAAAGGATGAAGAAACTGCGTTAAAATGGATGCAAGCTGCTAACAAAAATAAAGTTAACCTAAAAAACGGTACGTTATTTTGAATCTATATAAATTATAATTGAGGCATATATTTTTAATACTTTATTGAAATTAATTTTTGTAGCTCGCATATGCTCTGTCCACTTTACACCAAGCTGTTACAAACCAAAGCCAGCGTATTTAGCAAACTGCGAAAATTACTCGCCTAAGAAATTATGAAGACTTCATGATCATGCAATTCCAACAGAAAATTTGCCACTATTGAAGGAAAGAGAAGTGCTAAAGGAAGTGCAAAATCAACACAACATAATAAATGTTAGTGAAAACAGCAGGTGTGTATTATTGTATTATATAAAATATTTTCTTATTATAATATGTGAAGATTGCAATAAATTCTATTTACAATATCTTTTTTTAACAGCAAAAACAGTTTTAGTGAGTCCGAGACCAATTTGATCGACACTTCAATGGAAAATAAAGCAGAAACACGTTTTATGCAATCTTCAAAAGAAAATGCTAGGTATAATTTTATTGATTTCATGCGTATTAACGACTTCATTGCTGTACAAGAAATTATTGCATGTTGTTTTATATTTTTATTTCTTAAATATTTTTTACTTTCAGCAGTACAAGTGATGATACAATGGTAAACACACAAAGTAATTCACAGACTGTTATGTCTGAGCACTTAAGGTAAACAAAATTAATTGTCTGTATGATTATAAAGCATCAGCTCAAATATATATATATGTATATAAATATTTTCATGTCTAAAAATTACTTGATGTTTACTAGGATGTGTATATATATATATATATATATATATATATAGTAAACATCAAGTAATTTTTAGACATAAAAATATTTTATTGCATATTGCAAATTTTTTTCAAATTAATAGGTAATATTTTTCAGATTACGAGATAAAATTATTCAAGATTTGATGAAAAGACTAAGCCAAACAAACAAGGTAAACGATTTGCTTAAGAAACAAGTAAAACGATTGCAAAGAGAAAAGACAAGAGTTACGAAACGTGTAATAAAAGAAAATGTCCATAATGTGCTCAAAAGGATATTCACTCCGAAGCAAATTGACGTTTTAATGAGTAATGAAAGAAAAAAAAGAGTAAAGTGGGGTCTTGAAGACATATCTGCTGCAATAATGTTAAGAAGCTTGAGCCCAAAAGCATATTGTTTTTTAAAAGAAAATCACTACCCGTTACCAGGATTATCCACACTTAGGAACTGGGCATCTCCCATGGAGTTAAAAGAAGGAATTTTATCTGATGTTGTCTTTTTAATGAAAAAGAAAGCGCCATCGTTTCTGTAATATCAGCGTGCCACATATGTTCATTTTTACATATCAATTTCTTGTATACTATTCAATAATAAACTTATTGAACACAACTTCTCGTGTTATTAAAATAAAATATTTATTACATTTATTGAAATTGCTGTATTTAAATAAACCCATCTTATATCGACAATATTTTTAAAACTTCAGAAAATTATTTACTTTTTCCTCATACATCTATTATATTGTTCAATTCATGCTTATTTTACATTTATTTTAATATTTCTTTATATATAATTTTAACATTTTTTACTTAAAATTAATTATTACATAAAATAAAATTGCATTATATGCAGAACAGAAAAAGAACTTAATTCTCATTTAAAAAACCGCGGGCCTAATTCTATTGGCCAATAAACCAATATGTCTCCAGCTTGGCCCAACGCACTCATTGGTTATTAGAAAGGATGCGCAACAGCATACCTTGTTTTCTTTCTACCATGGTATCGACTGACGAATTGTCGATGGTGCCAACAGAAAAAAGGAGAAGTCGGCGCGAAATGGTAACTAAATGTTTTTTAAGGTTAGGATATCTATCATCGAAATCTAACAATAAGATGAGACTGATCAGAATTAAACATTTATCCAGAATGAATGTAAACTTTTCAGATTGAATGTTAAATTTAATATCATATATTTTTAATGTAACATTACATTATATATATATTTTCTTAATGGTTACTTTAACCCTCTCACCTTCAATTTTGATACACGATTTTAAAAATATAATTTAACAATTTTTGTTATAAATTAAATCTCATATTTTTTTAACTTACATTTTTTAGAAAAAGCCATTTTTATTGTATATTTTCCTTTATCTGTCAAATTAACTCTCCGTTTGTATACGTTTTTTTTTTGCGCTCTCGGAGTACAAAATACGTGGGTCTGTCAGATGTGACGCAATTTTTCCCTATTAAAGTATTTTTAAAAAATCCGGAAAAATTCACAAAACGTCTGTCTACATTGTAGTTGATAATTTTATATTCATTTTGATAAACATTGTTTATTTAATATTTTCTGGCAGGCTTGCAAGTTTTACAGTTACGATCAGACATCACTTTGGCTCGGACGCCGTAGACCCACATATACAGACGGAGGGTTAAAAAGTTGAACTAGATGGTTAGCATAACAGAAAAATTGTTTTTTTTTTTAGCGCATGCCGATATGATTTCATATGTATTGCTCAATAATCTTGATGCAAAGTAAAAATGAGTACTCGAATATTGAATGACATTCATAATGATTTGAAGCAGCTTATAACAGCGCTTACATCGTTTGAGGTATGTGTGAGGTCAAGTTGACATTTGTGACATACACAGGAAACAATGACATCTTACAAGATATGAATCTTTACGTATTCAGGAAGCTGAAGAGGGATTTCGGATATGCGAACGATTTTGTTTATCGAATATTAAACATCATCGCTATCTCTCTATCGATAGTCACGCAACCAAAGAGGCGATAAACGCTCTAATCACCAAATTCTCGATCCACGGAAAATATGAAGTCGCTAAAAAGTTTCAAGAGCTGATCGATTCCTTTTTATCGAGTTTTGACTTTGAGCAACACCCGCAGTACGATCTGCAGTGGTGTTTGTTAACATTCCTATTGGATCTGTCCACTGAAACTCACAAGTCCAACTTGGACAGCTTAAAACTCACGCGCGGGGAACACAGTTTTAATGCAGCCACTGGAAACGAGGATAGCATTACGGAGGAAATAGACTGGGCACAATATTTGAAGGAAGGTCAGGAGAATTTCTTTCGTGATTATAAGAGCGACAATAGCGAGAGCGTAGGTATTAGCATGAGATATATTTCGTAAAATTATAATTCGAAACGTTTTCAAGTTTTACATTTGTATAGGAATGGTCCGATTTAACGGAAGAAGAAGGGACTGATGAGAATGATATTTCTTTGCCGACGCAAATATGTAATACTCAGTTAGATATTGCGCAGTGTCCAGAAGTTTCTGATAGTACAGCAGACAAATTCTCCTTGGCGTTAGTACAAAATCTCGAATCTAGAAAGTGGCTCTTATCAAAGGTTCAAACTGATTGGTGGAACAATCTAAGATGTCGAAAGTATCCCGTTGTTAAACGATCTTGTGACACCAGCATATGTGACATATGGTACTTTTTTTATTTTTTCAGTTAAATTTCATGTATGAGTTATATACGTGATGTTGTAAATATATTTACAGGCATGAAACGAGTTTGTCAGCCTTGTACAAAGTAACTACTCTTAGCGAATATCAAGTGTGCAGAGAATTATTATGGATGTTTTATGTTCAAACGTCAATGGTGGTGTTTCAACAGGACAGTGAATCGAAATTTTCAATATGTTCCGACTTATCTATACCAAGTTTGACAACTGTGCGTACATCTATAGGATCAGCTCTTATCATTCTTAAATCTTTTTGTGCAATCCTTTATGCACGGTTTTATTATTTAAAAAATTATTCTATTTTTGAATCCTACTTCCAGACTGCTTTTAGGAGTATTCTAACTCCATTCTGCGAGTATTTTTCGATGATATATGATATTGAAAGATTTGGAGCTGACTTGCAGCCAACTTATAACCAAGACTCAGAACTACAGAGTCCTCCTTTGACCTATGAAGCATATAATGCTGCGCTTAAACAACACCTATGTGAATTTAAGACTGAAGTGGTTAATATAGAAAAAGATATTATAAAGCAAGGTAAGCTCACATGACTCATTTGTTCATGATACCATTGTAATCTTATTGCTAAATATTTTATTTTAGAAAATTGCAATACGTTCTTATCTTTATCGGCTAATCTGAGAGGACATTTGAATACTATAAAAATGCTCTACGATATACACCAGAAAGTTATAACTGATTGGAAAGTTAATCCTAATTGGAAATGTGCATCTCGACTATTATCATCCTTATATTATGAAATGCAAAATTCTCATAGTCGAGAAAGGACAAATATTTGTATAAATTTGTATCTATGTAGTCTTACCGTTTATCTTAACATAATTGATACATGGCTGAGTGAAGGACGATTAGAGGATTGGCGAGATGAATTTATAATTGTGAGGTACAAGTAAAAAATAAAAAAATTAGAATTAAAATTCTAATTTACTATATATATTTACATGCCTATATCTAATTGTTTAATTATTTTATAGGGTCAGAGAGAATGAAAATGAACAAATTGAAAAATTTACGATTCGATTGTCCGATAATATTTGCTTGACAGATCCTATTATGCAATTCTTGTTGCAAAAAGTGCAACATATGGGTCACAGTATTGAATTACTTGTTTCTTTGGATCGAATTGCCGACATATGGAGGATGGACAACGAGTACAATGGTCTCTGACTATGACAGACATCTTTATATCATTTTTTTACGTTGTAAACTTATATCTCATTATAACGCATAATAATTGTATTGCAGACACAAGGATTTCATTAAACATTGAACTACAAAATAAATTGTTATCAGAAATATCTAAATATAGTTCATCAGTGGAGGAGACAGATACCGCGCCGCAAATAGATGAAATACTTTTACAAGAGTACGATGCCGATATTGAAACGAATATAATACACCAATTATCAACTTTGCATAATCCATTTCTCATGAAAGCTATGGAAGACTACATGCCATGTGAATTATATAAAAACGATACGGTGGTTGCTCGTGTGCATAGTACTCACAATTCTAAAACGAAACAAGGCCAAATATATAATTTATATCAAGAGTATATGTCTATATTTACAAAAAATTATTAATATATTAGAGTAATTTATACATTAAGACTAACATATATTCTCTTGTAGACTACAAAAGATAAGATATATATTGCCGATGCAAAACATTTTGGAGAATACATTGTCTGAGATTTTAATATTACGCTATAACAGCGCTAGCAAATTAGTAAAAAATATTATGATTGAGGAATATAAGCTGCAAACACATTTGAAGCTATTGAGGCTTGTTTATATGATGGAAGCTGGACACGTTATGAATAAGTTCTATCAAATCTTGTTTCACGAGGTAAAAGGAGAAAGAAATTAATCCTTAACACGTTGACTGCCAAATACGAGTTAACTCGTACTGGCCTGACTTGCAATTAAATCGCAGTTATGAAGAAAATCATAGGAAATACTTAATAAAATTGACAGTGAGCGTCTGGGGTAAGAATGAAAAATTAACCGTGACGTCAAAACATGGAAAATTAATTCACAAAAAAAATATTTGATTCTTAAATACATAAAAAAAGTGTAAGGGAACCTTTTCCCAAATATGATTTGGCAGTCAACGTATTAAAATATTAATAATATTCCTTTGTGATATAACAATTATCTATTCTAGATTGAAAATAACCAAATGTGGGCTAATTCGTATTTTCTGTCGTGTATTCTTGAAGAGGTATTTTCCCAATATTGGCCGGATACAAGTTCTCGTTGGTCGATTACAGTTCACGGCAATATCAGTACTCGTCAAGTGTTACAAGCTGTAAATAGTATAACGCTGCATTATACAGTAGAATGGCCTATAAGTATCGTGTTAACTAAGAAAGTTTTAGAAAAGTACAATGAGATATTCAGATTTCAACTAAAATTGAAGTGGGCTTTGTGGACGTTAAATAATTTAAGGTTTTATGGTAAATAAATACGAATACGATTTAAGATATATTTTTACAACATGTTTATATCGTTTCGTTACTTTTTTCAGATCTAGAAGGTTCTAGGTCGCCGTGTACAAGAGACAGATTAGAACAGTTCCACATAAGGCGCCTCGAGAGTTTAAGATTTTGGCTGCTGCACGCGATAGGATCTATACATACATACTTGTCTGGCCAAGTATTACAGAGTCTAGGTTTTATACTGGAAAAGGTTCTAGCTCAGGCAGATAGTCTCGATACCATTATATCAGGTAATGATTGCGATAAATTATCTTCGAGGAAAAGAAATTCTCACATACATATCTTATTGTGTGACTGTGACATATAAAGTTTCCTTTTAAGATATTGGATGGAATACTCATGATAATCTTAACAAACGTAAGCAATTATTTTCAGTGCATAATGAATACTTGAACAAAGTTCACGAACATTGCTTATTAACAGAGGAATTTAAAGATTTAATAACAACTATAAATAACGTACGTATATCTATTAGATGACGGTGAAATGTCAATTTATAGAATTTACTTATTACTCAATTATTATGTTTTAGATGATCGAAATGTGTAATCACGTACGAGATCGATGGTCACGCAAAAAATTATTGTTAGCCGCTACAGAATTAGACGTAATGGAGCACAGTTACATAAAGTATCATACATATCTTGCCTTAGCTTTGCACAATGCGGTACAACATAAGGATGCAGATTATTGTAAGTTTTACAATTTATTAGCGGTACTTAACGTATTTCAGTACAGTTATCCACAATTCTGCAGTTCAATCGATCGTTCATAAATATTGTCAAAACAATCATTAGAGAACGTTAAAAACAAAAAAAATGTTCAATTATTTTTTAAAATTAGTCATTGAAAGATACGTCATTAGTGTGATTTATGTATTGACATGTCAAATCTTGAATATATTTGCCATATACTGAAAAAATATTAACTAATAGATGTTAAATTGTTGCATGATGAATTAACAGTATTGCTTTTCTGACATTTTCCCCTTGCTTTATTTACAGTGACTGCCTTAAGTTCAGCCTTTAATTGCAGTATGCCATGTGCTTAATTTTATATTAATAGAATGTCAACTCGTACCGATTTAACAATATTATCAGTGTGCATTCTGATCTTTCTATTTGGGATTAACAACGACATCAATCCCATCTCATTTACATCAATCTCATTACTTAATACTACAAAAGTATACATGTAGTATTTAGCCGTTATTCTACTAGATCATTATATTGTTATCTCGTTTGTGATTAATATAAATTATAATTTTTTATACTAATAATTATTTTTTAGATAAACTCGTTACGCAAAGATCTGTAATACTTACAACATAGAGTATTATGTACTTATTTTTTTCAAATAATTGTTCCCATATGTATAATTGAGAGAAAAATATATTACTTTATTTTTTGTAGAATAAAAATTGTTTAAAATTACATCAATCACTTTTCTACCACTACGTACGATTATCAGTATAATTGTTACCCAATGTGTCAACTTCCATATCCTGTTTCCTATTCGATCCCTTCCAGATAAATTGATGCCAGCATCTGCGGCCTACATCGATAGTAAATCATTCGAAGATAGTAATAAATTCATTAAGCTTATTACCGACCTCAGTCGTACTTTATTGACAGAAATCGCACACCAAAGTTTGCCACCGTCAGGCATCCCCCTACCAATCCCAAAATTAATTTACGAAAGGACTTGGCAAATAAGGTAAAAAAATGTGACTGACGTATGCTACAGATTTTTCAGTTAAAGTGTGGATTTACTAACTTTTTAAAATTTTAGTCCAGAATCATTGCTACCTGTTGAAATGTCCTTAAACGAGTATGAACAAATCTTTTCTTACATGCGCTGGTATCAATATGAGGAACAATTCTTTGTTCTAAATTCATCATCATGCGTCTTACACGAGATAAAAGATATCGTCACTAATTCGTAACATCGTAAGGAATATTTTAAGTAGATACATACAAAAATAAAAATATATTCGATAATGTTATTCCACATACAATAAAATCACGATTTCTACATTATGACCCAATAAAATTATACAATTATTGAGATTTAGAAATTACAAATGTGTATATATAACTTTAGATTCCAAAGAAGAAGAATGTAAATATGGTATGTGAAACATGTAGATATAGATTTAAATCCAGCCACACACCCACACAACACACACATACACACGCACACATATACTGCCATATATTTCATTAAGGTACATAAAGAAAGCAATAACTGATAACATAGATGTGTTCCAATACTCTATGTAACAAATATCAATTATAAAAGTTCCGCTATAGTAATTTGGGGTTACAGTTTTAAAATACGAAATCATAATTATATGTTTGGTAACATTATTATGATAACTTATACATATACAATTAGAAAGTCATTTCTTGGTATGAAAGATATATTTCATGTTTAATAATATATTGTAAAAAGTATAGTATATATTAAGGGGAGGAAAAGATGTGTTTGCAACATACATATTTGCAAAGAGATTTCCAAATAAGTAATAATGAAATTAATATCAAGATCTGTTCTATTACATTCGCCTGATAAGTTCTATACAGATTGCACATTAAAGTTAACTCTGCGCAATTACAACAGTACCGTTTTGTCCAATGGCTCCAGTTTGCGACACCGTGGGAACATTTGACGTTTCATTCGTGCTAACAGGGGAGGATGAGTGATTGTTCGCATTTGTTGCAGCTAACGCTTTGTTTCGTAATTCGAATACTTGCTGTATCGCCTTGCGGAAACAAAGGAAGTTATAGTCGATCACACCTGTAAATTAGAAAGAGAAACAAAAATAATGATGCAATCCGTGCGCGTTATTATGAAAACACATTTTTTTTAAATATATAATATTAAAATAATTATTTTCACCTTGTCTATCGAAATTATCCTCTCGTAAGATGCAGACTAACGCTAAAAATTTATTCACTTCGCGCAAGTACAGGATTGTACCATTATTTAATTTAATTAAACTGGAACTTTGGTTGTCGAATGCAGCAGCTTCTAAATCCTCTCTCAATCTGGAGCAGACATAAATATAAAGGAAAAATACAAACAGTATGTTAAATATATACATATATATGCAATCAGAATATACGATTACTTACCCATATATGCAAGATACGTCAATAACAACATCAATCATATCACAACATAGTTCATAACTTTGCATATCAACAGGTGAGCTATCCGTTGCTATATATATTTTTGAGACAACATCAAACAGGAATGCCTTCTCAATTGCTGAATTCTGTGAGTATAACATTTTTTTTTTAATATTCTAGACTGTTCATTATAACAAAAAAAGAGGACAGGACAAACGTTATCTTTACCGATATGAGTATATTGAGTAAATTTTCTAAAGTAGGCAGCTGTGGTATTAACTTTTGAACAACTTTGCTAAATGCTTCAAATATACTATGATCATATATCGAGGTCAAGTGAAAACTCAAATGTATTTGATCGCATCCTAGAAGAAATACGTAAAGTGAGTAAGAATCAGCGTTTCATCTCCTTAATCCAACTCTTATCTCAAAAACTTTTCTTTACCAGCGTCTGCTAAATCATCGTTGGCCCTCGTGTGTATATCTCTTTGCGTTTCCATTTTACAGTCGTCCGACAATCCGTCCACCTTATGGATAAAAACTTCAAACTTGATGGCCTGATTGACCTTGTTCGCTTTTGTGACTGTTGCATGGAGTTTATTAAGAGCTTCCATGTAATCGTCCTGGGCATCTATCACAAACACTAATGCTCCGCAACCGCCAAATATCATATCACTGTCAAAGGTAGGATCAAAGAAGTCGATTTGCCCAGGGAAATCCCATATTTGAAATTGTACAAAGCTTGAGTTGCTTATATCGTCTTTAATTATTTTATTTGTACTTTCCAAGAATAGCGTCTCGTTCGGTGACATCTTGTGGAATACCACCTTTTGTATCGACGATTTGCCGCTACTAAAGAACGAAAGAAAAAGACATCAGAGGGATAAGCATTGGTCTAAGAAATTTGCAGAATGTCTTGCCACAAAAAACTCTTAATCCTACCGTCTCAGACCCATCAGAAGTATTCTAGGCTTCTGTTCTCCGGCTAGTGGATCCATAGATCCATCGGTTTCACCGTCAAACGGCGCATACCCAAAATCCTTTGGGAAAGAACCACTTTGATAATGGTCGTCATAACCACTTTGATAATGATCGTCATCATCCTAGAACAGCATAGAAGGAACACCGTAAAAAAATTAAAATTTATATGACACACTGAACGGCTATATATATATATATATATATATATATATATAATTAGAAACGTCATTATCGGTAATTCCAAGATGTCATAATTCACTCCCACGTGCGTCCAACTAATTAAAATATTCAATAGTGCGAGAGAGGTTACATATTTTTTTTATATCAGCAACACGCTTAATTACTGCCATTTCCTCGATGAAAATTCGAACAGAAGCAAGTTCGTGTTCACCACCCACTTACCATGTTCGTGAGGTTAAATAATTTTTATGGCAAGATCCTAGCCGTCCTTCCGTCCCTCCCGAAGGATTACAAATCCGAAAAAAGTCGCGGTGCCGCACCGTATCCGTTCGACCGCGACTACATATAATGGAAAATTATGTAGGGTACAAAAGTTTAATACAATATCCAATATCTTTGTTTACAATTGGAGCAATTGGGTGTGTGTGATGATTAACAGTGCTCGTTTGATACAGCCATGTATCAATCGGTGCTCTGATTGGTCCCTTGTCAGAGCGGTGCCCGTACGTTACTAGAGATCCTAAAAAACCAAAGGGTCGGACAAATAGGTTTGTTCGCGTTGCTTAAATCCCCAAGCATTTTTGCACTTGAAATGAGATAAATATATATATTCGGCCAGCTCTGATTCGGCCGTTGGAGAGAGAGAAAGCGAAGATGCTGAGTGCAAAAAGTGCAAGCAACGCGAATGGAGTAAATGTGCTGTCATTGAGTGAAACCGGATGTGACGTTTTTGATGGTGGTTTATTTTGATTGTTGAATAAATAGGTGCTTTCCATCTACATCAAAACTCAGATAATTCTCACTTGTGATGTTCTATCCTTTTTGGCAATTAATGAATAATAAAGATAGAATGACATCACAAGTGAGAATTATCTAAGTTTTGATGTAAATGGAAAACAACTTAGACCTCGAAAAAAAAAACCGGATAACCGGGTAGGTACCCGGATAATACCCCCGGATATGTTTTTCGAATAGATTCTTAATAAGATTATTAATTCCAGAATCGGGCCTCAGGCGTATGATAGGAACGCAATGCGTCATCGCCGACAATTCAAATGTACCAGAAACACTACATTTTCATACTAAAATGCTATATTAATACTTAAATATGATTGAAACCAGCATTTAATCTGATTTGTAGATTGAAGAAAAAAAATTCTAAGCAGAGATGAATAAATTATACAATATATTGCGTATTACTAACTTTTTTTTGTTAAGATTATATAAAGAACGGTCAGCGTTAGAGAAAAAAGAGCGAAAAAGAAGGTTGGATTAAAACATAGAAGGTCAATGTGTATCAATATGTGCAATAGTTACTTGTAAGTTAGGATAGTAGTGTATGAATGGAAGGATGAATGATTAAGGTTATTTGTAAACCAAGTCCACTTCTTGGCTATGTAGCTAAAGTTAACAATAAATATATATAAATATATACTAACATTTTTTTTGCAAAGAAATTTATCAGTTTTAACATATTACATGTCAAATTGGAGATAGAATAAATAAATTATATAAATGCAAATTATTAATTTGTTGTATACCCGACAAAAAACGTATGTAATAATTACTCCTACATAATATGGCTATACATGATTTTAAAAAGATGTTTATTGTTTATCCATTCCAGTGATAATTACAGACAGCACAATTATCACGTACGGATTTGTAAACGATATAATTTATCTTTCGAAAGTACAATCAGGTATTCGTTTGTAGCAACGACACCCATAATGGGGGAAGCTTGGCAATCGAGGTCTACGATTCTTTGTTTGGCGGACTTTGCTCCGTCATCAGGCCTCTCGTACAAGAACACGTGTCTCGTGTGTTCAACTATAGCTATGTACGAACCATCTGTGGCAAAAAACGTATATAATTACGGTAATATTATTAAATAAAATTAATATTATTAAATAAAATTAATATTATTAATTTTATAAAATTAATCGAGTTATTACTATTATGTATAGTTATTATTTCTTTTTATTAAATCAGAGAAATATCTTCATAAAATATCTCTGCTGCCTTACCAATCGGAGACACGCAAAACTTTTTATTGGTCTTGCTAGCTTCGACGTAGCCAAATCCAGGAAAGCTGCGAACGTGTCTTAGGTTCCACTGAGCATCATTGTTTCCATTGTCCATTTCCCAAATGCAGGCGTCGTGATCATATCTTAGGCACACCGTTTGCCCATGATTTCTTTTATACGTGAACAACACGTGATTGTTGCTCCCTAATCTAGCTAGATGTGTGGTCGCCCGCGTGAGAAGATTAATCCTTTGTAAAAAGTTATCTTTTCCCTCGAGATCGCATTCTTCTAATTGTTCAGCATTGAATCCCACACAAGGTTGATCCCCGCCAGCACTATTACTTTGTTGGTCTGTACATAAATGTGCTAACCTGTATAAATGATATATTATACATATAGTGTTGCGAGTAATTATAAGAATATAATGAAATATAATAATGAATTAAAATAATTAAATGTATGAAAAGTTAAGTGTAAAATTAATATTATTAAAGTAAAGTTGAGATTAAAACATGAGTATATATGTAGCAATTTCATAACAAGTACCTCGCATGAATTTCTGCAGCAAGGGCTTCATTGGGTAAACATTCGCCTCCTGTATCACCTTTAATTAATTCGCTCCACATTAATCCATTTTCACATTTGCTTAGATCAATTTGTAACGTATCTTCTTTGTGCCTCCAAGTTGTCATATTTTCCTCCAATCTATGTTGACATTCTCCTTGTATTAATATTTCATTGTCTATTGTAACAGACAGTTCTAATGGGTTAACGCTTATTTTAGGTCGTTTATCGCTATGCTGTTTCGGTATTTTAATCCAAACGATGAGCGATTCTTCATCTTGTGACCAATAATACTTTGGAATTTTTATTTGCGAACTAACACTTGGCTGTTCTATTTTGGTTTCAGATTCTTGTGTATTTTCACTCTCAAAACCAATATTATCTTGACAAATGGAATGCAAATAATTACCATTTTCTTCCACATAGGCATAGTCCACAGTACCTTGTACTTTCAGTATCTGTTTATCTATATCATAAACTTTCGTTATTTCATTTTCCACACACAAGCCATATGACAGTAATACAAGCTGCATATATTTCTTCTGATTATCATTTGCAACAATAGTGCACATAGTTACAATAATTTTAAAGCTCTTTTCTATGTATTGGATATTCATGATGATTCCAGATTTTTCGGGACTCATTAGAAACACCTTCCTATTTTCCCCAGTATATCCTATCAATATGTGCAGCTTTTCAGCACCATCAGAAATCGCCACAATATTATTTGAGGTAAATCCGATCGATGGATTATATGTTATTTTCGATGACTGTGTATCTTCATGTAATTTATATACTTGATTCAAAGAACCATCTTTATCCAGACGCCAAACGGCCGAAGTTTCATCAATAAACCAACACGACATGTCATAAACGTTGTTAAATAAATGATTATGAAAAGCGAAAAGTCTTGCTTCCAGCCAGGATTCTTGATTATGATTTGGCTCTAATCTGTATACGTCTGAAATATTTTTCTGTTAAAAGATCTATACTCTTTGATTATATGCCAGAGACATATAGTTATATATATATATATATATATATAATATTTTATAATACAAATATGTATGTACTTACGATTCCTTAATTTGTTTTCAGAAATTATGGGAACCTCATTGAAAAATTGATACTTTTCGAAAGACGAGTTGATCAAACTTTTATTAGGACGTAACTCGATTATTTCTGTCATTGTTTTTTATATTAATATAAAATAATATCAGGAAAAGGTATTTCATTAGATGGAAAATAATTTTTAGGGTAAAGTGGGTTCCATGGAGACTTATGTCATAGTATAAACAGTTAGTGACAGTGAACGTTTTTATGGCTCCCTGCACACGGAACGCGGAAACACTTGCCGCGCGGTGAAACGCGATAGCCAATAAACTTCTTGTTCTTACGGAAAAGTGACGCGTTGATTCGTTGATTGCATTTCTTTGACCAATCAAGAACTGGTCCGAGATGCGAGAAGGAACATGACTCCTCCCATGGTAGAAGACAGATATTATTTAGTCGTTGCCACGGTATAACCACGTTACACGCATTTCGTGATAAAGATTTCGCTATATAACCCAAAGGCAGGGTTGAAGGCGCTTTGCTCCTTCCCAAAGGAGCAGAAACAAAAAAAAAAAAATTCCGTAATAAAGGTTCGTAAATAAATATCTACCGTAAAACATTATAAATATATATTTATTAATAAATTATAAAACATAAACTTAAGTCAAACATACCAAAATATCAAATTTTATTGGATTGATTTTTTCTAGATATTATATGTAATATATATATTGTATTTTGTTTGAGAAGATACCATGCCGACGTGTTGTATAAAAAACTGCAAGAATCGTACGGATCATAACGCAACGAAAAGCATTAAGTATTTCAGCTTTCCGAAAGAAACAGCTGTTCGTCAGCAATGGCTTAATGCCTGTCAGAGAAAAGAAAGTGATATGAAAGTTGATTCGGGTAAGTTAATGTTTCATCTTTGAACTCAACACAATGTCACATACATATGTTATATTATAATATAATATACTTATAGCAAGGATATGCAGTATCCATTTTGAGAAAAATTGTTTTTCACTTGAGAAGACAAACCCACGTTTAATAAATCAACCAGCCAAAGAAGTTCTAAGGTTAAAAAAGGGATGTATTCCAACCAAATTCTTAATTCTGGATAAGAAACGAAAAGGTACAATGTTGCAGAGCAAGGAAAATAACAAAAAAATAAAAGTACCGTAAGTATTTTCTAGATAAAAAAAGATTGGTAATTGATCGCGCGCTATGCGGTACAGGGAGCAAAAATGAGTTCCTCAATACTTTACGATATTTATACATATATTCTTTCAGAGTAAAGTCATTTGTACCTACATATATAGAACTTGTACAATATGCACAACAAAAACAGCATTTATCGCAAGAAGAAACTGTAACAAATGTAGAAACAGACGTTGCACAAAATATGGAAGAAGCTGTAAAGGATATGCAAGAGAATACTCTACAAGTTATTGAAAAAGTTACAAAAAATACAGATGAAGCAGCTGTACAAAATATGGAAGATCAAAATGAAGCAGTACAACAAAAGATGTACGTAGCTAAATGTTTCTTTAAAATTATTAAATTAAAAAATAAAAAAATAAATATAACAAAATCAATAAATAAAGATTTAAAAAAATTTTTTATTTTTAAAAATATTAAAATAAATATTAAATTAAAATATTTTTATGCATTTTACAGAGTGCAAGAGATTGGCAATAATTCAAATGTTTATGTCGAAACGTTGTTGATGCAATTAAGAAAATTAGAAGAACAGAACCAAAAACTTTTAGATACAAATAAAAATCTTGAAGAAAAGACTCAAGATTTAAGTATACAAGTTGCACAGTTGCAAGCAGAAGTTAAGACAATGGCAAAGAATAGACATAAGGAAGCAGACACAATAGCCATCGATGCTCTGCGTAAGGTATTTACACCTGGCCAGATTAAAATGTTAATGTCATCGGCAAAGAATCATGTAAAATGGTCATCTGAAGATATTATGTCAGCCATTTCGTTACGATCATTAAGCCCAAAAGCTTATAGGTATTTAAGAAACGTAAAAAAATTTCCATTACCGTGTGCAACAACACTGCGAAACTGGGTTGATCACGGGATCGATTATGTATCTTTTCCTCTAGGACAGAAACCTGAAAAGTGAAAAGTTTATCTCTTTCTATTCAACACCAATAGAAAGAGATAGTTACATGAAACTTTTCACTTTAGGAATCAGTAATAATAGACATAAAACCCTTTACAGTTATACAATTTATATGTATGTATATATATATAGTATATATATATATGTATATCTGTACCTTGGAGGCAAAGAATCATATCTCCAGTTTTTGTCAAAATGGAGTTAATACATTTTTCAATATACCAGAAGCTTAAATTGTATAACTGTAAAGGGCTTTATGTCTATTATTACTGATTCCTAAAGTACAATGTTTAGAAAAAGTAGTATTAAGAATTTTCATAGTTCCTTAATCGCTCATCGCGTCCAGTGTGCTAGGGCCATTAGCACAAACAGCGTGCTCTGTCCTTGTTCAACTTTTATAACGAGTTACAGAGTTGCACTATAGAAACCTTAAGGACAATTGCAAACCAAGTCCTTGGCTTTGCAAGCTGAAATTATTAATAGTCTTCTCTAGTCTATAAAGTACCAAAATTTTTTAAATTAAAGATGTTAAAAAAAATAATGCTATATTTACAAAATTTAAATAAATATCAGTTTTTACAGTATATTATAAAATTTAAAAATTTAACATGTATACATACATACATATATATATATATATATATATATAAAAGATATATGAAAAGCGAACAACATTTTCATATCAAAATATCTGATTTCCATATAAAAATACATTTAAATATTTATAATAATATACGACTTATATAATAAATATTTTATAATATAATAAACTTAACTTTTACTTTTTAATTTTTCCTAATCCATCTTAAATGTTTTTCCTACATAATTTTGTTTATATATACAATATATAAAATATATAACTTAAAAATTGTTCACTGAACAATAAAATAAACAATAAAGAACATTTTTTGTTAAAAGTCACCTATGGCAACAATAATATTGGATAACGCCTTTCTAGCATCACTTTCCTTAAACACACTTAAGATTTCCATTGCCTTTTGCGAGTGTTCCTTCACGAGCTCTTTAGTTAATCCAATGCCTGGACCAGCTGCGACAATTTCAAGCACCTATATACATAGAACGTTATTCATTTAATCAACATTAATCAACACTTCAGTTGAACATACGATAAAGAGAGCTATTAATTTAATTATTCACAAATTTTATTAAATAAATTTTATTAAACAATTTTTTTAAAAACCTTTAAATAATCGACATTCTCAACTGACTCCAATCCTTTATCGAGCTCTATCAAAATTGATGGGTCATGTTCAACGTGAAACATAATTGGAGCTGCACACAAATTATGTAAAATTCCCTTATCTTTGTTGATGCATAAACCCAAGTCCAAGGAAGCCTGTAAAAATGTATTGCAAAATAATTTTATAAATAATATTTTAAATTGTATAAATAATATTAGGCAAATAAAGTATTTACTTAAAAAACACAACAAAATAAATATAATAGCATGAAAAAGCAAAATCAAAGTATTGTTCCAAGTATATTTATTAGATTAAATAATATTTACGCAAAATAATTTTATAAATAATATTAGACAAATAAAGAAAATATTTATTTTAAAAACACAAAAAAAATAAATATAATGGCATAAAAAAGAAGTAAAATCAAAATATTATTCCAAGTATTTAATTGTAATAAGATATATTATTAGTATTTTACAAAATTATTGCAAAAATTATATAAACTTAATATATATTTTAATTAAAATCATGCCTTTTTTAGAAAGGGATATGTTACCTGCCAAGCTAAAGCCAAGTGTTTGCCAAACTCGTAACCTTTCTCTTCTATTTCTTTGCTATGACCAGCTATTTTTAATGTACTTTGGCAACTTTTCCCGAGCAACGATGCAGCCCCGTAAGTATTTAAAAGCGTCCATTCCTTCAATGCGTAGCCTGTACGATCCTCAGGTGGTATTGACGGTATAGGAAAGTTTTGATTATCCCTGCGTGCTACAAATTCTGCTTGACACAAATCTCTTAATGCAGACGATATTAATAATACAAGCTGAAAGATTTTCTTTTTTTAATTACAAGCATCTTAAATTTAAAAACAATATTCCCGTTTTCTTGCAATAAATTAACAGCATAAATAAGACAAATAGCAAGTACACTTACATCCTGATTTTTGAGAGCTGCTAATTCGGTGCAACAATTGCTAAGCAAGTAATCACCACACAACAATGCCATTTTATTGCCGAAAGTTATATTGTTCAATTCTGAAGATTCCAAAGATCCTGTATCTGTATTTATGTTTACCAGCCCTCTGTGTATCAAGTTGCTAGTGCGTATCATCTCTGTTATTTCTGCCAATGCCCTTTGACTGAAATGTAGTTTACATATTTAATTCATTGTTTTTTCTTTAGTATATATTTTTCATATTGTCAGTGTGGGCGTTTAAATTTTTATGTATAGTGTACCTGTGTAATACTCCTGCAGCTTTATCCTCTTCTATCGATTTTGCATTCAAGTGACCAGCAGCTTTGGAAATTAACAGCAAAATGAGACCAAATGCCTGCGTATTACGTCCATTATAAATAATGGTCCTGTTGTGAAAAAAAGATATACAAATAAAGCTTCTAATTCTTAGGAAAGCATCATTATGATAATTTACTTTGCTGTTTTCAATACGGGATGATTCGATCCAACCAGCTTCCTCAAGTGCAATGCAACATTGGCAATCTCGTCGCTCAACAACCATCTTAAACTTAAGAAGGATGTTGGATATCCAACGATCTTCTCTGCCTCTGACATAGTTTTATTCCAGTCCGTCTTTTGACTCACTGCCACCTTGTTCTCAGCTTGATTAACATTACTAAAGTAAAATCTATCTTGCGCAGAAATACAAACTGTTCTGTGAGTTTGGAAAGTTTTATGTGATTTCCATAGAAATGTAGTCACGGTACTGCTTCCTTTCCAAATCCTGAACACAGCTGTATTTGCAGACATTGTCCAGCTTATTTTTCGAACTACTGTAGATAATATTCTAAAAAAATATTATGACAATTGATCAGAATTGTTGACATGTAAGTATAGGCATAGGTTTAGCTTAAATTCATTGCTCTCTATTGTCAAGACAGTAATCAAAATTATTTAATATAAACCGAAATAAAACAGAAATAAAGATTGTCAAACATAATACTAAACTGGCATGAATTTAAATATAATGTAGTTAGAAACTACATGCCTATACTCGAGGACTAACAGAAGAGGTATGTGAATCATTAAAACTTTCTCTTCTGACCTAACTTTCCAAAATTTCTCGGACGCTCATATCGCCTATATTTAGAAAGAAATATATCATTTTACGTTAAAAACTTGTACTGAAAGCACCTAAAAATCTTCACCAGTCATTGACATTAATCTAACATTTATAAAATTTCCTTAAACAAATTTCTTGTGTCAACATAAAATTATGTTTATCCACAAAAATTCCTTAAAATGTGGGTCTCTTATCTTCATAGCCAAATTCAAAAAGAGAGGCTGAATAATACGTCAATAAAAAAAAAAAAGAAAAAAGATCTAATTAAATCTCTTGCAATATTTGCAGGAAATGTAAAAATAGGTCAAATATGTTATCCACATGCACGTAAAAGTTAACGGCAATGCAATAGTCACAAATAAGAATGAACTTTTTTCGTGGCACTCATTAAGGCACTTACCAATCGGTCGGACGGATTAAATTAAAAGGAATATCGTGAACAGCTTGACGATTATTCAAATCGTATTGTGAATCTAGAATGTCACACTCTACGACACTCTACGTTACGCATATGACACTTATGAGCATCGACCGTAGCGTTATTGAAGATGGCCAATCCTCCGGTTTCACCATAGTGGAAGGAAAGACAGTCTCAAAATAAGAACTGACTATGGCTACGGTCAACGTGACGCTAAAAATGCTTTGGAGTGTTCTTCTTCTCCTTCTTTCTTCATTGAAAGAAAAGAGAAGAGGAATGCTTTGAAGCATTTGTAGCGTCACGTTGACCGTAGCCTACGGCCGGTATTCACAGTCGGTTCTTATATTTAAGACCATCTTAAGATTGAACTTAAGACGGTCTTAAATAACTATAAATACCGGCCATAGTTGGTTCTTATTTTAAGATCGTCTTAAGTAATGTCTTAAGATGCTAATACGGCTTGTGATTGGTTAATGGCATCTTAAGATCGTACTTAAGATCGGACTTAAATATAAGATTCGACTATGAATACCGGCCAATGGGTGCGTTCAGCCGATACTCCGCTAGCCTAGCAATCGTGAGCAGTCGCTCGTTTTCGCTCGTTTCCTCTCCTTTTAATCCATTGGGTTAAAGGAGAGGAAACGAGCGAAAATGAGCGACTGCTCACGATTGCTAGGCTAGCGGAGTATCGGCTGAACGCACCCAATGTCTCTCGCTTGTTCCAACGCACTCATTGGTCTACAATGCGAGTCGTAAAATCGTGAGTCGTAAGAATTGACCAATCACAGTCGATTATTCTCCTCAAATTCGATTGTGATTGGTCAATTCTTATGACTCACAATTGGAGGATTCACATTGCGTCCGATCACGTCCGATGTTCGACGTACGACGATCCGACATCCAATAACAGAATTTATTATTAGAGACAAAAATTTCCTATTGGATGTCGGATCGTCGTACGTCGAACATCGGACGCAGTGTGAATCCTCCATATGGCCGGTATTCATAGTCGGATCTTATATTTAAGATCGTCTTAAGTACGATTTTAAGATGTTATGAACCAATCACAGGTCGGTATTCATAATATACTAGTATTCATATATACGTGTACTAGCATAAGAACCAATCATAATGAGCGCTCACTCAACAGTTGTGTTTCTTGAACGCGGCCACTGGTTATACCGTGTACATATGTATCATATGTATGTACATACATCATGCTTTATCACATGTTTCACGGCTGATCCGTATCGCGGTTATGATTTTTATGATTACATCAGATTACAGGATCGCCACGATAAATGTGTATATATATTTTCGGTTCGTAATGGCATTTATTTTAGTATCCAGTTAACATTTTCACGATAAAACGAAAAGAAACAGTAAAAAGAAAAAAACCGGAAAATATGTTAGGCGTACTGTACGGCCGTCTACCGCGCGAGGTGCTGCACAACAAGAAACTGTGGTGTTTGACGAGAAATACATACAGCAGCGGAATCAGGACACGATTAATATTATCTAGTAGATTCCACATTGCCGGGCGTAATCCCGTGTTCCTTCCTCTCGGCGTCAGGGTAATACATCCAACAATTTTGTGTTTATAAATGTCGCACGGTGACACAAGCTCCTACACAATAATTACTAATTATATAATTACATAAACATGTATACGTGTATTCTGTGCATATTTGCTATTTATGTATATGTTATATATAATATTTTATATTGTATACATTTATTTTAATCTTATTATTTTTTTTGTATTTTATTATCTGTAAGACAATCAATAACAAATACAGACGCAAATACTACAGTTGTCTTGTGTAGTATTATATATATTTCAAGATTTTACACACAAATTTCATTAGGCGTAATTTTAAAATTTAAAGAACTTTTGCGCATCATTTACTGCATCTGGCTCTCATTTAGTACGCTTTTCTTATATTCGTGGATTTTCCACAGAGCCTACAGTATACAATTACAAATTTTATTTTTGTTGAGATGTAATACAATATGTAAAACGCGATAATCATAATTGGATTTGAAGATTTATTACAGGTAACATGGTTGCAATAAAAGTTTTTGTTACTGCTTCTACAGATATAATATCTGCGTGTACGCAATGGGGCGAACGTCGAGAAAACGCCGCCAGAAGAGGAGGCTTAGTTTCATAAAATTGAATGAGAACACTGACGAGTCTTTGAAACGTTTAAAATCCTGGCTTCTAAGCGAAAACTGCGTGTCTATTCGTTATTTGATACCAGAGCATTTTCTTCTAACAGGCAGAGGCTTAAAAACATTAAAGCCCATAGAAAGTAACGAAGTGCTGATTCAACTACCCCTTCGAATACTGTTAACAACAGATGTCTTGTTGCAGAGTGATATTAAAACTGTATTCCTGTATAATACCACTGATAGCTTCAGTTCCCAATGTATGCTCGCGACATTTCTCGTATACGAAACACATTTAGGAATGAGATCGAAGTGGTATCTTTATCTGAAAACACTGCCGCAGTCTTTCACGAATCCAGATTTTTGTTCCAACAAAGAGAAGGCAATGCTGCCAAGCTTCATCTCGCATCCCTTTTATCAAGCCCATCAATTGCAACAAGAATTTTCTTTGTTAATGAAAACTGTAAAATGCCTGGATATTAATAAAAGCCATTGTGCTCATTGCGATATGCATCTGCAAAAGATAATGACATTTGCAAAATATAAATGGGCGTACTATGTTGTCAATACACGAGCGGTATACATAGACACTAAAGTACGCAAAGAGGATATATTTAACATAAAACAGCCTAATAATTTGGCTCTCGCGCCCTTCCTAGATTTATTTAATCACGACGTAAATACCACCGTTGAAGTATCTACTGTCACTGATAATTATCAAAATCAGTTTTATCAGATTGTTACTTTAAAGCCGTTTGACGAGGAAACGCAAGTGTTTATTAATTACGGCGCACATGACAGTCTCAAGTTGTACATCGATTACGGATTTTTCATTCCGTGCAATCCGCTGGACGAAATCCAATTTGACGTCGTTGACGTACAGAGATGTTTTGACGTTTCGAGGAATAAATTAGATTTTGTTACATTCAATAGTTTTCACAAGGGTATGTCATTTACTCGCGACGGTCTGAATTATAACGCGACAATGACATTATTTGTAGTAAGTACAAAATTGGAGAAGGACCGTTGGAAACTGAAGATATATGGCGAAACGTTTGACACAGATGAATGGCGTACAATCAATAAGTTAGGAATAAGTATCTTGAGCTTGAAGAGAACAGAGTATACATGTGCTTTAAGTAATATGAGGAATTTAAAACTTAAGAGCCCGAGCTTTTCAATCGCGATTAATCTCGTGGAGGAGTATGTTAATATCTTAGATGCGGCACTTAGTCACATGGAAAAAATAGGAAAAGCTGTACTATATTAAATATTTTAATAATCTGTACAATAAAATTTGAAGTATATTCAGAAAATGCTTTTTGTACATATGTATAACTTCATTAAACGTAAGATATTTTGTTTTTACAAAGTATTGTGATAGAATAAATAGGGTGATAAAAGTATTTCTGTAATTTTTTTTTACTTATCCATTGTGTGTAATATATATATTTAGTAATTTAAAAAAAAGCTAAATATTTGTAACGAATTTCTTCATATGTAATAATTCATAACAATTTATCATATCATATATTTTGTTATGCAAAACGAAAGTAACATGATCAGTTTATCATTTGATTTTACATCTCAATTATTCCTTCAATATCAATTAGATGAAACATACATGTGAATACATCTGTTACATGTTTATAAGTATATAATTAGCGTGGTTGTGGCATACATCGATTATATATAAAAATAAAATCTTATGTATTTTGTAGTGTTGCAGCGGCAATGTAATTGATCGTGCTCAGAAGAAGAAGAATGTGCCGCAATCTAAATCTGTCGTGCCGCCAGTGAAATTTGTATCGGTTGTTACTGGACTAACCGGAGCAAAGCCTGGCCAACAAAAAAGAAACTGCTTTCATCCTGGCGTCTCTGGTTTGAGCAGAGATGCCATTGATTTACGCGATAAACCGTCGATCACCAGTACGGACATGTTAAAAGCTATGCTCAGATATATTTGGCCAGAAGTAAGCAATATTGTATTACTTATAGCTTAAGCAGGATGTCAAATATTATTTACTACATTTTTGTAGGATGATCCAGAAATCCGGAAAAGAGTGAAAATAGCAATGGGTTTACTTGTAGGAGCTAAGGTCTTAAATGTTTTTGTGCCATTTATTTTCAAGTATGCGATAGACATTTTAAATGCCCATACCGCAGCAATGTCCGGCAGTGCTGTGATGGATTTAACAACCGCGCCTGCAACAGTCGCGACCGTAGCAACATCACTACTTGTTGGATGTACGGATACTAATGTCTTATTTTAGAATATCTTAATATTTTAATGCACAAGAGAACATTCTCGTAATCATACGTGATTTTAAATAATTCCACTGTAATCTTCTTTGCAGATGGAATAGCACGGGCTGGAGCAGCCGGTTTCAGCGAACTTAGGAACGCGGTTTTTGCGAAGGTCGCACAGCACTCTATTCGTAAGATAGCGAAAAACCTTTTTGTGCACCTGCACAATCTCGATATGGCTTTTCATTTAAGCAGACAGACCGGTGCTTTATCGAAGGTAATATATGGGGTTCAACAACTTTTTATTTTCTAGTCAACAATATAAAAAAGTTGTGTGCTATAGCTAGAAAAAACGTTGTACCCATTTCAGACAATCGATCGTGGTAGCCGTGGTATCAATTTCGTTTTAAACGCCATGGTGTTTAACATTGTTCCTACAATATTTGAGCTAGCATTAGTTAGCGCAATATTAGGGATAAAATGTGGACCGGAATACGCGGCCGTAGCGTTAGGTTGCGTGAGCGTTTATGCTGCATTCACATTAACTGTTACACAGTGGCGCACCAAATTCAGAATACGTATGAATCAAGCGGAAAATGAAGCAGGCAACAAAGCGATAGACTCGCTCATCAATTACGAAACAGTAAAGGTCAGTAATAGGATGTAAAATTTGTTTTAATTCCTTTTAAAGAAATTTAAAAAATATTATATATGTTCTCTGCCGTAGTATTTTAACAACGAAAAGTTTGAAGCGGAAAGATACGATCAATCTTTGAAGAAATACGAAACATCGTCCCTCAAGACTAGCACGAGCTTAGCGATGTTGAACTTCGGGCAGAATGCCATTTTCAGCGGTGCGCTGAGCCTCATCATGGTACTGGCGGCGCAAAATATCGTAAATGGTTATTATCAAGTTATAGAATACTTCCAGGAAAATCAAAGCTTATATCTTTATTTCTTTTATATATAGGCACTATGACTGTCGGTGACTTAGTGATGGTGAACGCTTTGTTATTCCAACTCTCAGTTCCTTTAGGCTTCCTAGGCTCTGTTTATCGAGAAGTAAGACAAGCTTTTATCGACATGCAAACTATGTTTGCCCTTATGACAACGGACACTGCAATTAAAGTAAGATTACCTGGATGCGAAGTATATTGAGAGTCTCATCTATCCTCATATTTATATAATGTACATATAATCTATATCTTGCAAACAAAGTAATCTTCGGGTTTGTGTTAACAGTCAAAAGAAAATGCACTAAGATTTCACGTGACGCCAGATTCGTCGGAAATTCAATTTAGAAATGTAAATTTCCAATATGTCGAAGGAAAGCCTATTTTTAACAATGTATCGTTCACTATATCGAGTGGCAAGAAGGTTGCTATTGTTGGAGGATCTGGTTGTGGGTAAGGTATTAGGTATATATAAATTGTTTAACACAGGTTACTGATCATAAATTCATTAATATTATTCAATAATTATTATTTATAAACATAATTACTTCATATATCCTTTTATCTTTTTAGCAAAACTACAATTGTGAGAATGTTGTATAGATTTTTTGAACCACAGAGCGGCAATATTTACATCAATGGTCACAACATTCAAGATGTTGATTTAGAGGACCTAAGACAATGCATTTCGATTGTGCCACAGGTAAAACCTTATGCTATTTTTTTTTCTTTTTTGCTTCCTCATAGAGGAAGCTTTGTTTTCGTAAATTCGTATATGAACCTTTGATTGCGTATAAAGTTGGCTCTAATCAACCAAATTTAAAAGAATTATATATAAAATAGGGGTAGAAGAAACCAAAGAAAAGATTGTTTTTTGAGTTTTTAATGTCAATATGTTCAAAGTGTTTTAAAACGTCGCAATATTGCATTAAAAAAAATGTCGGTATGTGTGTATGTATGTCTGTGCCAAATTTACAGAAATTTCTATAACTCCAGAACTGATCAACTAAATCTTAACGAATTATATATGAAATAGGGGTAGAAAAGACTGAAGAATATAATAGAATTAATAAAAATTGTTAATAATAAAGGGGTTACCGATTTCTGTTAAAAAAAGGTTTACCGAAATTTTTTTAAATGCAATATTTCGACGATCTATTTCAAATTTTATTATATTTTTTAGTCTTTTCTACCCCTATTTCATATATAATTCTTTAAGATTTGGTTGATTAGACTCAGCTTTGTACGTGATCAAGGATACTATGAGGAAGCAATGTGCAGGTTTCTACTTGCACACTTTACTTGTTTTTGATAATTAAAGCTAATTTATTTTATGCGTAAATACTCCAGCGCTTTTTACAATATGTTAAAAATGAAATTGTAGGATACGGTACTTTTTCACGAAAGTATATTTTATAATCTGCACTATGGTAATTTGAGAAAATCGCGCGACGAAGTTTTTGAAGCTGCGAGAATGGCAAATCTACATGACTCGATACTGAAATGGCCGCAAGGATACGATACACCTGTGGGAGAACGCGGTTTGAAATTAAGTGGAGGAGAAAAACAAAGGGTTGCAATTGCCAGAGCAATTTTGAAAAACAGTCCTATATTGATCTTTGACGAGGCTACTTCTTCACTGGACTCCATTACGGAACATGCAAGTTTCAGAAATGCTGTATTTTGTCGTATAATTTTAATATATTACATCCTTTTAATAAATAATTTTTTTTTACAGAATATACTTGACGCTCTGCGTAAAGCGACGGAAAAACGGACCTCAATCGTGATCGCGCATCGTTTGTTGACAGTTATGGATGCCGATGATATACTTGTGCTAGATCAGGGTAATTTAGTCGAGAGGGGCACACACCAGTCATTGTTATCTGTACCAAATTCTTTGTATAACAAATTGTGGGAAACCCAATATTTAGGCATGAAAAGATCTCAAGAACAAAAAGAGAAAAGTCAAGCTGAACAGTTTAATTAAAGATAGGATGATCTAGGTAAAGATACTATTTATCATATAACACTGAATGAAAGTCTTAGTCTTTTCTAGGAATTAATTGCCACAAATGTTGTTTCATAATTAGGATTTGACAGATACGTGAGATATACAAAAATAATTTCGTGATAACAAAATATTACAGAGCTGTGCATAAAAATATAAGTATTAAAGATAGACAACAATATTTGTTTTACAAAGTCAGTGTACATATTAATATTACATTAGTAATAAACAAATGTTACGCTTGCAATCAACTTATTACAAATAGCCTTCTTCGTTGTGTACATATATTCTCATGAATATTTCAGCCAATTGACAACAATACAGATTATTTTATGATAATTTGTAATACGTATATACATACTTAAGTCAGCCAGATGTTGCCAAATGTTTTCACTTGTAACATATTTCAAAACTTATGAAAAATATGTAATTTATTGTTCGAAATATAATTTAACTGTAAATAAAATATGAATGGTTCTCTCTCTGTTAGTACATAAATTTTTTTATTTTGACTGGAAAATGTTATTAAATAATTCGTTCTCATATGATGATATTAACATATTCATAAAAATTATTTGCGAAATGTATTCAGGCAAAACAAAGAAGCCATTAATTAAGATATATTGAATATGCATACAATATATTCAATTTTAAAATTCAATTTTGTATTTATTATGGATCCAATTTGAGTTACAATAAATAATAAATAAAAATCTTAATATCTAAAATGTTTTAGTCCTAAAATTTATTTTATTTTAGATTAATGAAAAGCATTGATTACTAATGCTTGCACAGATGTTACCTTGACAACCATTTGAAACAATTATGGTCGCCGACTAGCCTGCGATGAGCGTTTGACAGTTCTCTCTGACAATTTGATACTGTAAAGATGGATTCTACGCAATTACAACGCGAGTTGTAATACGCTGCGTATAAATATAAAATGCAAACTGAAGCTTCTATCTTACCAGTAGTACAACTTAATGTGCATAGAACAATCACTAGGTAAATTAAACTTCGGGAGTATCTATATAAATCATGACGTAATATTGGACAAAGAGATAAGATATGTTAAGTTTAATACATGTATTTTAGATTAAAAGAAAACTTTTATTTCATATCTCTTAAATATATGATATGTATATGTAAATTATAGAAAAACAAAGCCTTGTTCAAAAGACTCGGCGCTGGAATCCAAAAAACTATCTCCTTGCAGAAATACACTACTTCTATCGAGCAAAAAATGTTTAAATCCCTTGCCTGGTTTGTATAAAGACATACTTGTTAAAATACACTCGTTATTTTATAATTATTACTCGTTAATTTGTATCGATAATTATAACGTACATATATATAATATGTATAGGTGCGCCATATAGAAACAGCATGAAACAGCAATCGTTATCGGATGAACCAAAATCTAGTAATAAAAGTACTCTCGGACAAAGGGTAATGTCAGCCAAAATGCTTCGTTTTAAACAGTTACAAAATCAATTAGCCGATGCACACTATCATCTCAATGTAAGTGTGGAAGATACATTGACATATCTGTAGTTAATACCAAAGCTATTTGTTTAACATGAAATAAATTTCCTTGCAGGAACTAGCAAATGAAAACAGATTATTGAAGGCATTGCAGAAAAGACAAGATTCTGCATTGAGGCGTTATGAAGGCGCAAATGCCGAACTACCGAGGCTTATAAATTCACATCACGAAGAATTGAGGGTACTTCAAACGAAATATAAGAAATTGAAGGAATTGCACAAGGATACGTGCAACCTGCTAAAAGAAAAAGAAAATGAACTTTATTCAGCGAATGTGAGTTTCTTCATTAATGCATTTGTGTAATAAACTATGAATTTTTTATTTTAACGCGTGTCCGTATGAATTTCCCAAAATTTTTTTTCACAGTCACAAAATAAGCATCTACTACAACTCAGTAAAGATCGAAATCTCGAAGAGAGAGAGAAATTGCAGTTACAATTATCCGATATGAATTATAAGATGCAACAGCAACAAGAAACTATACAGGTAATTTCCAACATTTATTTTTAAAGATAAACTTCTCACAGATTTTATATTTACATAGATAGCAGAAATAAAGCACACTAATTATGCGAACCTATGACTTTAGCTAAAATATCTCCTTTTTGCAGCTATTACACAGAAAACTTGCCCTCGAAACTAAGAGCTTGAAGCATCAGTTACATGTCGAGATTTCTAAACACAAGGAGACACAAAAGAATTTACAAGAGACGATAGAGAAATTGAAAAGCTTAGAATGTTTATTAGACAATAGAGAAAAGAGATTATATTATAATGGTCAATTGCCAATTTCTAGCAAAGAGAAAAATCTAGGTAGCCATTCTCTTACAAATCTCAGAGATGTCAGGTACAAAAGTCATATTTATCGCATCTTTTCATTCAATAATATAGAAAATCAATTTTTTATATACATATTCTATATTTCAGCATCTCTAATCCAATTAAAGTATCTAGCAGAGGTAAAAGGAGTGAAAATAATATGCCAAAGGATAATTTGGTGAGCGTACAGTAACTTGTATGTGATTAAGCGTAAAATAATTAAGGATTAACAATGATTCTATAAATCTAATGTAATTGCAGCCGTCACTTGACATAGTGGAATTCAATGACGATGAAAAAATAACTCAGTCAACGAATAATATTAATCACGATCGTTCAATAGATCATCTAAAGTCAGAAACAATGGCAAGCTTGCAACAGATACGAAAGTTTCGTTTACAAAGATCACCGCACATGCGTAAAAGTGCTCATTCTATGGATGATTTAAGATTTAGGCCAAAAGATCTGGAACCGAGAGCGCGTGATGATGATAAAGTCACATCGATAGATTATAAAACAATATTGGAGAGAGACGAGTTAAATAACGAGCCAAGTGAAAGTGGCAAATTAAGGAAATTCTTTAGTAGAATAAAAAATCAGAATTCACAAAAATTGCAAAAAGAACTGAGGGCTGAATTCGATTATTCATCCGACGATGGAGAGAGTGAGAATGAATATTACATTCAGTCTTACGGTACCCCGAAAAAATCTAGAGAATTGTTCGCAAGGTATACATACATATAACAAGAATATTTCTTGAGAAATCATGTAAAGCAACATTATATAAATAATTAAATCTTCTTACGTAGCATATTTATTCGTATAGTTAATATCAATCCTCTACTTTTGTGCTATAATCCTCATGTTGTATCTGTTACAGATTGATTAACAGCACAGATGATACCTCTGATACTTTGGACGATATGATAAAAAAGGCAGAGTACAGCGACGAGGAAGAAGAATTAACCACACACCTAGCAAGAGGCTTAACGTTTCAAAAGCACAAGTACAAGAGTAAATCGAAAGTATTGCATCGTAGGAACAACGATCTTTATGACAGCGGTTCTGACGTTGATCCCGAAGGAGCGATAAATACAAATGGAGATACTTCCATTGAATATAAAAGCAATGGCTTTCAAACCAGCTTATCTAAGTACGCCAAAGAGCAATTTAGTGAAAAAACTTTTAATGGTGTCACTCATTCGGAATACAACACTTTGGACATCGCAGAACAGTCTGTTGAGAGATTGAAGGATGCACAGCTACAGAAAATATCTAATAATACTCTGGATGATGTTAACATCGAAAGTACAGAAGTTCCTCAACAATCTTCAAACTCAAACAAGATGTGGCTGGAGAAGCGACAACTTTTGGAAAGTAACGGAATAGACGATTCCTCTACAGACATCAAAAAGGAAGATTGCACAAAAGAGGAAGAAACAAAATATCTAGAAGAACCAGTGTATGTTGACATGTCATGTGGCAAGGTTTATCATGATACGGACAATGCATATAAAGAAATGAAAGATTTGCCCAGTTCGGAAGAGAAAGAAGTCGAGAAGGGCTCACAGCAACCTTATGAAGAGGAATCTACTATAAATCGTTCGGATGGCAGGAATCAACCAGTGTATAATTTGGAAAAAGAATATCTTGGATCCAAGGCGGACGAGACGCCCAGCGTGATATGCCACAGTGATGAAGAAACGTCAAACAAAAATGACATCAATATAGAAACCCAGAATAAATTAAACGCCTCAGATGTCGATGCACTGTCCAACAATGTTCCTGAATCTCAGGCTGAGCGGGGTAATGGCGCAAAACGCGAAATGACGGAGATAAAACAAGCAAGCGATAAGAAGAAGATAAATAATTTCAACAAAGAAAAGCTATTGGCCACGATGAAAGCTATCGACGACAACGAGAATATCGAGTTCCTAAGCCAAGGATTCAAGAATCACAACACGAGCAGAATGCAGATAATGGAGAATCTACATCGTGGTTTGCCTGCACATTCAAAGCCGAAGCGCGATATTATTAGAGATATATTCGAGGACAATCACATAGAAAGTAAAGCTAGAGGCACTTGTAGTAAATCGCATTGAAATTTTAGAAATGGTCGCGTTAAGGATCGTAATAAATAGCACAAAACCGACTTTCTCGCTTTCCTTAATTCTGTTAAGCTTTACATGCGAACCTTGTCGAACAAATGAAATATTTACAGAAAAAAATATATACATTATATATTTTTTCTGATGTATCGAGGTTTGCAACTCGTTTGAGGATGCTACTGAATATCAGAGATATGTTTCCTCAGAAATAAATAACAAAGCAGCAATGTATCTTACTTTATTTCTTATAGTCTATTTTCTATTGATTAAAATGAAACTAAAGTTATGAAGTAAAATGAAACTAAAGTATGTGTTATTTTTTAAATAAATAAAAAAAAGAAATTTAAATAATCGTCAAGTTTGCAACATTTATTTTTCAAAAACCAAACCAGTTTTCGTTGTATCATGCGTATCGATTATCTTGTATATGAATCATAAAGATTCGATTACATGAATATATCTTGATTGCCCTGATGAAAAAATTTTTCATATTTTCTCAGAAATTTTCTAAGTAGTAACTTATTACGATAATTCCTTCCCGTAAACGGGATTTTGTAGTAACTTACGATAATTTACTCCATAAACGAGTGAATTATCGTAAGTTACTACAGAAATAACGCTCGTGTAAACGTAGTATATATATAGTTACTATAGATAGTGGTTCAACACCAATAGGGCCGTTCGCCGTTCGTCGTCAATTGTCAACATGTCACGAACGGGAACGAAACTCGATGCAAAGAAAGTGGCAAGTATCGCATTATTTTGTATGAAATATTTATGTAATATCGGCTCGCCATTAGCAGAGTCCGCTTAATATTTTTATGTCCGTTTCGAATACGCGATTAGTATCGAACGAAATTTCGAGGTTATGACCATGTTATATATTCTATAGGATATATCTTTTAACATTACACATCTTTTTTTATAGGATAGATTTATAAAATTAGAACAGTCAGAATTATTGGTTTGTATTTTTATATAAAAATTACTCAAATTTATAACGACGCATTTTCTGAAATTTTTCGTTGACTTTCGTTGACTAATACATAAAGGATTAAATTGATCAATTTATTTTTCCCTTTTATCTCCTTTTTTCAAAGATGTGTGCACATACAGTTATAAATATATATATATACCATATATACACCATATAAATGTATCATATTGTATATTTCATATATATATCACATACATATATTCAAATAATAAAAGTAGATGCATGTATGTACATACATTAATCATCAATAATTCTATTGTTAAAATATAGATATATCTTTGCAAATCCCAGTGATTGATCATTCTGTGAGAATCAATATTAATTTAAAACATCAGAATTACAATGATACTAACATTGTTAAACTTGGTTGTCTTGTTATAAATAATTATAATTTCAAGGAACGTTTGCGTCGACCTCAGATTGAAGCTACAAGCAACATTCTCTTTCACGTTATAGAACTCTGAACTGTTCACCCTGACTTACGGCTCACTCGTGGCCCAGTTGCTCCAGGACTATGAAAACGTGGAGGACGTTAACAAGCAGCTGGAGAGAATGGGATACAACATTGGGATACGTTTGATAGAGGATTTTCTGGCGCGCACCGGCTCCGGCCGATGCTACGACTTCAGAGACACGGCGGAGAAGATTCAGAGCGGCTTCAAGATATTCCTCGGCATAACGCCGTCGATCACGAATTGGAGCCCGGGCGGCGACGAGTTCTCCCTGTGCTTCGAGACGAATCCGCTAACGGAATTCGTCGAATTGCCGGATAATTATTCGAACCTGAAGTATTGTAACATACTGCCCGGCGTGCTCAGAGGAGCCTGCGAAATGGTGCAGATGGAGATTGCCTGCTGGTTCGTGCAGGATCAACTTAAGAATGACAATGTGACCGAACTGCGTGTGAAGTTTGTCAAGAGGCTAGAGGACGCGATACCAGCGGGCGAGGATTGAACGTATTCTAAATTATCTAAATATGTACAAAACGATATCTGCGATATCGTGTATATCGTTCTAATGATAAAAGTATCTTGTATCTTTAGGTTTAAGATATATTGTAACAATTAGGCGTGTATTTTCCCGTCGCTTGCATTCCGCAAAACTTTCGATTAAAAGTAATATATATGGATATCATTCTCATGTTAATGTCGCAACGATAGTGAGACAGGCAATACATACCACGTTTGTTTAAAATCGCCTCCCGAGTTTATTTCCTATCCTATTAGGATTAAAAGAGAATATCTTTATCTTTTAATCTCTTTTATATATGTGACCGTATTATATATCTTGTTTTACCTTCTTATGTGTGAAACGTATTGAAAATTATCTTCCTTCTTGTAGATAAATAGATAATAGATGATGGGTTAATGGTTTTCTCACAAAGAGCACAGTGCAACATTCCATCTGTTCAGTATTGGTCAGGTTATGTTCCTATTGGAACTCTAATGCAAGAGCAACATTTATAGAATTTGATCCAGATGTTTACTGCAAATATGCATTACTTTCTTCTTTATTTTACTTATATGTGAAGCGCAATTTCGAGAAACGTATATTCCGATAATAATAACAGTTTATTAAAATAATTGTTATTAAAATACCGATAATTATAGTGGAGCTATTCACATTGCACGCACTTTTGGTAAGCAACTGTCGTCATCTTATAGCTTTTGTAACGCAATTAAACGCAATATAAGCGCAATATAATTATTTTTTATCCAACATTTTTTAAGGCATTCTCATCAATCAATTACAATGAAATTGACAATAATAAATTGTTCCTCAGGTATTCTCTATACCGCTGCCTTCCTATCATGGAAGTGAGGTGCAGGCATTGCTGTAAATCTCTTTTCAAGGGTGATTCTATTTTGTTTAATGCCCACCACGAGGTAAAGCAGCAAGCAACGGATGTAGGGTCAGGGTGTCAGACGGACGAATCTGACTGCTGTTCGTATATGACTCCAGAGAATGTACCAGATTGGATTATGGATGTCATTGATCAAGTATACCTTATCAAGATTTTAGAAACACACGTGTACATGTATATGAAATACGAATCTGAATAATTATTTTTTGAAGGAATCTTGGACCAAGGGAAAATTACATTGTCCGTATTGCAACAGTCGCTTAGGATCTTTCAACTTTGTGAATGAACTGAAGTGTTGCTGCGACAAATATGTAAGGCCTCCCATAAGGATAGTTAACTCCAAAGTGGATATATTGTGTGAAAGTTTGAGACAATAAGCAAAGACAGAATTTCTGTATAATGTACATTGCCTGTTTTGTCTATATATTATTGTATATATTTGTAAGAACTACCTCCCCGTAATATAAATAGTACTGTAAAATTTATGAAAATATATTTCTACAGAAATCTTTTTCCTGTGTTGTGTAAGTGATGTGACAATTTTGTTATCTCGAATGATTTATAAATTTTTTTATTACACCGTTTTTTTCGCACGGTCAACAGCGATTAGCTCTTAATTAGCCCGTTTTCCTTTACGTGTGAATGTCCAACAGACTTCAACTTTCCAATTTTGTATTACATTTGTTTTGTGACGAATAATAATAGAAAATCCACACACGTGTGTGTGTGTGTGTGGGGTCAAACTTTTGTTACTCATTAGATCTTTTTTATTTAATATAATTTATATTTACATTGTTCAGTTACATTTTTCCCAACTTATGTATATCTTAATTATAATTATGTCTATGTATAGTGGCGAGGATGTATCAGAGATCTTAATTTATACAACATTCTTATATATGTCTTTTTTACAGTGAAATGGTACTGCATGATATTAATTACAGACAACATTGTCAACCAGTGCTGCTATTTACTGTATGTACAGTGTAAAATACAGGATTTCTTTAGATTATGTACAAAACTTGGACATATCATATAGATTTGATGTACAATGTATATCAATGTGTAACTCTATGTTTAGACTTTAGGTGGAAGTGTTCATATTATAAATTAAATTGTTAGTTTCTCTAATTTCAATCGCTTTGCGACATTAAATGATATTGTTTGTAACATTATTTTAAAGTGAATTCTCTTTAATTTCTGACTTTGTGTGACTTTTTGCATTATATCTCACACGAAGAATTCGCTGACTTTGGCAATGATTACAATACATTCAAATTGATTGCAGTACGTTAAGTAAATGTGTTCTAATAATATTACTTTAATTCAATATTAATCGTAGAAAGCTTAGTCCAGCTAAGATTTGATACTGATCGAAAGAAAATAATTTATAATATTTTAATATCAGGTGCATTTTGCTCCTTTCTTTTAATTTACACATGATTATTTTCACTAGGATTCTTATAAACAATGATAACATTTATATATATTTAATATTGGAAAAATATTGTATACATGATATATTTTTTATCGTTTGTGAAAAAAATTTTATGAGGTTTATTAAAACAGAAAATAAAATATGTTTTCGTTATATAACAAATGTAACAATTGGTTTAAGAAATCGCGTTTCAGATAAGTAGATTCTACATCTTGTTTATATTTATAGCTTTGCACTATTTATTTTCGCTACATAATAACTAGTTTTCTTAAAGCTGTTTTTGGTTTTTTTTGCCAAATTTTTAGGTGGTTCATCACAGTAGTGAACTAAAAGAAAAAAAAATTAAGTATTTAAAAAAGGAACATACATCAATTTTTATGTGATTTAACTAGATAAAATCGGGCATGAAGAGAACCCCTTACATAACGCAGTTTTACATTCAAGGCACATATGGTCCACTAAGCAACGTTATGTAAAACGGTTTAGCGCTACGTATAAAAGTTAGTTGATCCATTCTTCGCGATATCATTACGATGAAAAAAGAAAGATCGTAAAACCGGGATACAGCGATTGTGCAACCGTTGTATAAGAATATTACTTAAACCAGCTACGGGATACGAATGGTCTTTTAACGTAAAAGAGAGAGCGATGCAGTCTAATTCAATTGAACTGCAATACAATTGGATCAACCAACGTCAGACGTGAGAAGCACAACCTCCTATTCGCATTGATATACAGTACATCCTTTCCTACAAGCTTTTTAATAACAGTCGACACACATGACATTACAGTCCAATGAAACTTAGACGCTACAACTGGAATATCTCGTCTTGCTGCTGCTCGAGTCTTTGCAAGGAAGTTTTTACTCTTCTTCCTTGCGTCATAACCACAGCAGTTGGAAAGTTATGCATATCACTAGAGGACACAGGCCTGACTGTGTCAGAGGAGGACGTCGAGTAGGTATTCGATGTGGTAGGAAATGAGTTTCGCAATTTAGCCGACCCACGTCGTCGTTGTACGTAAACGTCATTGCCATCAGTGCAGAATCTGTACAAATAATTCATAATGATAAGGATATTATTTAAAATTTAACGTTTTCTTAAAGTACTGCGCTTAGATATACAAGAATAATATACAAATTTATGGGTAAAACATTTATATCTTGTGAAAGCTTGCTTTTCACATTTTTGTTAAATCACCAGTATTTCCCGGACGAAACACGCGCTTGAAAATATATAAAATTTGAATGCATATAAGGCATAGAAAATAACTTACTCACTGTTCCCTTGAGTGCGTTTGACTTCTTTCTTGGCATTGGCTATCGAAGTATCCATCTTAGCTAAGAAATCATTAACTGAACTTTCATCACCAATAGAGGACGATATCGAAGAAGGACTAGAAATCTGTGAGATACAACATATTCGTAAGGCGTGTCTATCGACAGAAATTAACGATCCACTAATGAGAGCTTTCCAGCAAGCGATACAAGTCGCCACACAAATATCATTCCATCTTTCTTTTTTGGCAACGAGTAACAAAGATAAAACGATACTTGTGTCGCTTTGCTGGAAAGCTCCCAATGATTCCTCCCAAACTTTACTCACATTTGGAGGGACATCATGCTCCTCAGAAGCTACCAATTCGTCATTACATACAGAGGTGGGGCTGTCGATGCTGACGGGAATAAGCAAATGTTCCCGTAAAAATAAACTATCCGACGCCCACAATCTATTGATCCTTCTTATTTGTTCCGTCTGTAACAATCAGAGAAACGTCAACGTTATGGTGGGCAATGTTTTTGCCTCAAGCAAGCAAAACGTCGCTGAAAACGGCACGTATTACGAGACATACGCTGGTGGATGGGACACTATACCGTAACTCCGTATTTAAGCGCTATTCCCTGGAGGGTGTCCGTAGGGCACACCGTGTGCTTCACCAAGCTCTCGGTCCGCGTCACGTGCTTGGCTGTGCTGCCGTACTTCTTCAGGGCCCTGCCGGTGTCCCGAATGCACCGGCGCTCCTCCATCTCCCTGGCACCGTTCCGCTCCATCGTTAGGCCACCGGGACGCTCACGGAGGACCGGGGAACCGCACCATAACTCGTCGACGTACGTCTCGGGCTGCGCGTCTCCGGGCGATCCACTCGCACGGGTCTCACATAACCTGTCTGAGGATTTTACGGATTAGGATTTCCTCGGCGAGGCGGACCGGGCGGACGGCGGAGGCCGCGGTCTCGCCAATCCCTTGCCCGACTTCCTCGTCCTCCGCGCGCGAACGGCAGGACGAGAGGAGGAGGACGCTCGAGGATTTAACACTTACGAGGCGCGTGGAACAACAACAAACCACTCGGGGAGCCGAGAGTAGTCCAGCTTTCATGCCTGGCACGCGTGTACGGCAGATTTTGTCATTTCTCTCGGGATCATCGACGGCCCTCGGTTGATTTTTCTTTCTCTCTCTCTCTCTCTCTCTCTCTCTCTTTCTCTCGTCAGGTTGCGGGCGAATCACGAGATCGCCCACACGCTATGGCTGATCGCGTTCAGCTGATTAGCGCGATCGCGCCTGAATTGAAAGGAGGAACGTTCTCGTTGTAACTTACGATAATTTACCCCGCGTAAACGAGCGATATATCGTAAGTTACTACAGAAGTAACGCTCGCGTAAACGTAGTATCAGGCGGCGATAATCGCGTGGCGTTTTCCTCCGCTGCGTTCGTCGCTGAGAGACGGTATTATAATATGCGCGAAAGAAGGACCGAGATACTTTGACGCTCGTCTCGTCCAACGGGGAGCCGCTCGGCTCGCGGGAAGGATTATCTTCTTCCCTCACGTTTAAGACGCGCCCCGTTTCGGGATCACGTGCGATGCGATTGCATAAAAAATGAGGTAATCGTATGATCGCGCGAAAGTTTCTTCGCCGATCGATCGATTCTCGCCGCGACGACCTCGTTTGTTTATACGGGGGGATAGATATGAAAAAGGGGCTCGCTCGGAGGAGGCGGGGGAGGGGTCTCCGATGATCTAGATTTGTGAGGGATGTAAAATAAGAAAATAATGGAGTGAGATTTTAATAAAAAAATGTTCATTATAATACGTTACACAGTTATCTATTTTTAAATACAATATATTACAGAGAGAGAAACACACAATTATAATTTATTGTTATTAATATTATGTCTATTATATTTAGCTTACGATTATTATTATTATTATCGTTATCATAATAACTATGTGCTAGCCTCGATGAATATATAAGGCAGCAGGAAAAAAAATTATGTGTAATGGGAGACTAATTAATGCATATATTTTTTTTTATTCATTTAGGGCAACTGTATAGTCGATTATTACGATTGTATTAATCCCCAGTAGCTGTGCAACAGTAACGGCGATATTGGTAATAAATAGTTAACGTAAGGATAAATATTACGCTACCGCGGCAGTGTACTTCCTGGATTCTCTGTGGGCAAGGGGTTGGTTTTCCTCTAATTATCAGGACTATATCGGCTAATATTCTACATGATTACCCCTCCCCGCTATTCCAAATAGTATCGGCTACTTAATGATGATCGAACATCAACAAGCAGCACTTATATATTTAAAATTACTTTTTTTTCCCCCCCCATAAACTGTGTCACAGACAAGAGTTACTGATAATTTTTTTCATTTTCCTTTATGAATAAACTACACGAGCGATTTGATTTCTTTATAAATCGGTATCTCAGAAATGGTAGAACGATCGGAGTTAACAACGGAAATATATCGGAAGTGTGTGTATTTTATGTTTATGTGTTTCATATGTATGGTGGATGGGTGTGTGGACACATAAAAGTTATATAAGGCTATCTAAAAATGAATACGAGTACAAAAACTGCTCGATTTGACGTGATAGTAGAAATCATTTTGATGTAGCGAGTGTATCTTGGATTTTACACATTTCACACAAACACTTTGGCGAGAGCGTCGGCGCCGGCGCTCGCTATAAACGGTCGTGACGGGTGGAACGCTACGTCGAGGATACTTTCGTCGAATTTCTTCCGATGCGCTGTTATCTCCTGAACACAAGTCTTGTTGTCCATGTTCCACAATCTTATACTGCAATCGTGACCTGCAATCGCGATGAGCAAATACCGAATTAGAGACTCTAGCGATACGTTGAAATACATATATTTTTTATTTTTAACTGTTTCGCGTGTTATTATCGTGATAAAATTAGTGTCATTTTCCTTCTCCGTACTTACTTCCTGAAAGTAAATATAAACCATGAGGATCTACAGCGAGACTAGTGACTGCGTCCAAATGCGCTACCATTGCATGAGCAAGAGTAGCCGACCGGTGATCGTAAAACCGAATATGCCGATCCTCGTGTGCGGCCACAACGAGCGGTAACGTCGGATGTGCTACTACGCGATTCACGCCTTTCGTCTCGTTCGCCTCGAGTCGCGCCACGATCGCGCCGGTTTCAGTGTCAAATACCACGCAAGCTCCTTCATAAGCCACGACCAGCTTGTGTGGTTCGTCCCTGATAAAGTCAACCGAAGTCGGTATACCGTCTAAAAAAGAAGAAACAAAAGGAAACCGTTACGACACATAATCACCTAGAAACGTATGACACAGAGAGAAAACTTACATTTGATCAATATTTGTTAGATAAAGCTGTGCGAATTCGAGACTCCCGTGTTATTTCAATATACAACTTGCTACTAGCTAATCATGACCTAATAGCGCATTGTCCCAAGCTTAAAAACGTTAGGGTTTGCGTACCTTGTTCCGAAACATACGTATTGAGAAGAGGTTGTGGGGCCTGTGGCGCCCATAATTTTACAGTTCCATCTGCACTGAACGACAGCATAGTACGTAAGTACATGCTCAAACCCCAAACAGCGTTTGTGTGTCCTGTTAACGTATGACTAAGGACACTTGGTTCATACGAGTCGTACGGATCGATGTTAGCCGATGGAAGCGTCCAGCAATGGATATTGCCGTCCAAACCGCCGCTATAACATCGGTTGCCCATACTGCACATGGCCAGACACAAAACAGGTCCAGTATGTGATCTGAATGTGTAAAGTGGTTCTACATCTAACGAGGCTGACCTGCAAGATAAAAAAAAAATGTAAATGTAATAATAAATAAATACAATATATAACATACATCTTTAAAATAATTCGTAAAAAATTATAATTATAGTTATTTTCATAACAAAATGGAATTTACGAACTTTTTCGCTGGTACAGTCTTATGAAGATTCCACAATTTCAGCGTATGATCATCGCTCGCGGTGATGAGAACTGGATCTGTGGGATGGAAGACAAGTGCCCTAACAGCGTCAAAATGCGATCGTAACGTATATTTCGCGTTCCATGTTTTCCTGAAGGTCTCTTTTGTGGTAGAAACCATCTGTTGGACGAAACAACGGCATTACAAGCATTGATGAATCGTATCAAATCAACTTGTGCAATATAAAAATCCTAGACTTACATCATACGATATTTCTGCATCATTGTTAACACATAATTGTTCTAATTCGCCTAATTCCAGTGTAGAATCACCTTCCTTATTTGGACGTCTTGGGTCTGGTTGCAATCCTCTATGTAATGCTGCATCTTCAGGAAAGATGTTGGATTAGCAAATTGCAAAATGTAACAATAATATGAATATCGTAATACGTGTGAACAGATTTATATTTTGATATATAAAAACATCTGAAATACATGTGAATTAATACGGATACTACTTACTCCATTCTGAAGAATTCATTTCCAGATGAATAGAACCAGGTGGTGATTCTTCGATTTCTGTGAGAAGATTTAATTCGTTTAACACTTCTTCTGCTTCCGCATCTGTATCAACATCCTCCGCTAGAAGAGGAATAGATGCCTGCAAGGCAAATATGAAAGTCATATCGATAGAACACACATGTCGCAAATAAATACATCATAAAATAAAATATTATACAATAAAAATACAAAGTAATAATAGAAATTACCTTATTTGGTTTGGTATCTGTATTTGCATCGTAAATTTCGTCTTCTACGTCTCCTTCCTCCTCTTCCATGTCCATATCCGTGTGACGCAAAAATTCGAAATTTGCTATAACAGCCGCTTCCGTGTCTAATATCATTGCCTCTGCCATAGAAGATGGTTGCTGCTGAAATTTAAATTTCATCAAATTTTTTATACAAAAATTATATAAAGATTTCCACTGATTTCTTTCATTATAATTTCGTTATAAATTTTTGTTTAGGTATATAAAATTGGATTTAGATATATAAAATTTTGAATATTATTGCAATTAGTGCTAATACAAGTTGTTTCATTTCAAGTTAAAAAAAAAAAATAAATATATTTATTTATTTCTACCTTTTTTGGGGGATGCTGCTGCTTTCCTCGGCGTACGAGACTCTCGTTATATTCTTGCTTATCCTGTGCTATTCCTTCATTTCCATTTAACGCTGGAGTATTCATCTCTTCTGTATCTGTATTATTGTTCAAGCCAAGCAGAGATCGTACTCTGTTTGACCGTACATCTATTATCGTATCAGTATATCCAATCTCTTGCAAATACCTGAAAAAAAAAACATTCTACTATATCTTTTTATGAATTACACACTAATGTTTTCCTCTCGGTCTCAAAGTCTTAATTTGAATACAAAATAAGAATGCAAAAATTAACATTAACAGCTTTAAAACTCTGAAGCAGCTCTGAAATTAAACCAGATATTTTACATACTGCCTCAGAAGTTGACGACCTTGTCTCCAACTAACATTACTGATGGATGTAAATGAAGCTTCTCCATCTCCTCCTCCTCCTCCACCGCCACCACCACTACCACTTTCAGAGATATTGCACGTGGTACCTTCTTCATAAAGAGGTGGTTTGACATCCCCTTGCATTACTAAGTCAGTACCATATTTTAGCTTATGATACCTTGCTCTGCAGAAATTACAAGAAACGGTATTGTAAGGTCATTGTAATAGATGTTACTATAAAGTATAGACATAATAGAGTCTAATGGTAGTCCAGTAGTATAATGTTAATGTCCGTATCTCTCATTTGTATATGGAAACCCTAATAATAAATTCCAATTTAAGTTCTAATTTTACATTATGGACTTAAACAGTTATAATTTGTAATATACTAATGTATGTTTTCTTTTTAAGTATAATTATGTAATTTTTCTTATAACAATATATACAACATACATACACATACTCGTATTATTTATTAAAAAAGTATGTATGTAAATATTATGTATAATATTCAAGTATTGAATATTAATGCTAACAAAAATATTTCTTGAATCCTCCTTTAACACACAGACTGCCAAAGTTACTCATATATGTTACTCATACATGAATGACACAATTTCAAAGAAAACTTCTAGGAAACCAACATATTTTCTTTCATATTTATTAATTTTTTGGCATAATATATCATTAAACAATGAGATTTTTAAATAAAAATTTGATGTTACTCTTATCTGAATAATAAAAACTCTCAAAAACAAGAAGTATCATTCATATATATACAAATGACACGTATATGAATAGCCATTAATGTATCAAATAATATCACCGCAATTACTAATTTATTTACCTTTCTTGTTTAAGTGCGTACTCTAACATTTTTATTCTCCTCACAAGGTCGTTCTTCAAATTTTCCTGTCCCTTTCTTTCACCTTGAAGAAAAGCTATCCTAGCCTGCGCAATAAAACACCAGGAAAAATTAATCCAATTGGTCAATTAACAACAGTTTTACTTTTTTATACTATCGCAATTTCTTTGTACGTTCTACACGCAAACACCAACAAGCTCGAGTACCAAGAAAAAAAAAACACGTTTGCTCCGCTTTTTGACAGTGTGACAAATCGGAGCAACATTGGTACGAATAATTATTATGTGCTCGAGGTGCAATATGTCGATTGTTAACACGTTCTACCGCAATGCTAACGCATTTTGTTCGCGTTAGCCCGAAGCGAAAGGTTCGCATCGTGCTTCCTTATGTGCCTCCCTACCATCACATGACAGCTGAAGTGACAATAAGGCGGACAATTGTCTCGCGCGCGCGTTCGCGCTTGGCTCGCGAAGCGGGTGCCGCGTAGCCGCATCCGTCGTGCGGGGCCCGTACCTGAAATTCCGCCCTGTCCAGCTCCCACTGGGACCTCTCGAGCTCGAAGCGGGCCCACTCGTGCTGGATGAAGTGCAGGATGCCAGGCATCGAGTACTGCGGCCGCTGGTCCTTGGCGTCGCCGTTGCTGCCATTGTCGCTGCCGCCCTGGTGCTTGTTGTTGGCGAGGGAGACGTTCGCGCCGCCGGCCAGCTGGCCGTTGTGATTCTGGGACGCGGGGCTGCAGCTATCCTCCATTGTGGCACCACAAAACTGGCTGGGCACCTTCATTTCATGACACGGCGGCCATTACAGCAACTTCCCTTCCTTCGCGGAGTACCCCGAGAGTGCTCTCCGGTCGGACAATGTATTTCGATCGGCCCGTCGGAAAAGGAGACAATTATTACGCATGCGGACGCAAGTTATACGGGCGGTCCGTAAAGGTCCCGAGACCCCCTCGCGCGCGCGAAGATGAGTCCCGCAGCTCTGCGCTCACCGCGGTCCGCTCGTCGTGCTCACGTCCGCGCGACGCCCGCTTCCGGAAAAGCGGAAGGGATCGCGGTCGGCACGGGGAACCGGACCGTTTCCTCTCTACTGCCCCTCGCTGCTCGCTGCACGTCGACGGGTCAACGGGTGAAAGTTACCGCGCGGCGGCATGCCTCGCAAATCTCGCAATCCAGCCGCGGGCACCTTGCCGACCGGTACGGGCGCGCATCGTCGCCGGAAATTTCGCCCTTTTTATCGGCACCGACGGACTCATTCACTACCCCCGTCGCCGTCGCGCGCTGCGGCCCTTTCGCCAAGCGAGATCGCCCGATTTGTTTTTTCACTCCTTGCTACACGGCGCGTTACTCCGCGACATCGGTTTTCATTGGCTTGTCCCGTCGGCTCACGAGAGTTA